TGCTCCTCCTCTCTCTCTTCAACGGCCTCTGCTGGCTCAGCTACCACTGCCGCGGTAGCCTCTGCGGAGACGCTCGTTTCCTGAACAGCTGGATTGAAGCAAGTTGCCAGGTAAAAGCAAGCTAACATTCTTGGGCTTGGGATATGGGCCCGCGAAGGCACCCTGATGCGGAGTTTGCAACACCACTGCAAAGTGGGATGGCAACCTCACTGTCGGATTAATGGATCCTTGTTGCAGGGCCGAGAGATTCACGCCCAGCGCCCCTTGCCTAAAATGAAAGCTACTGATCAAGATACGGATGTCGACCTACAAAAACAAAGAGGAAGTTCCTGCTGCACGTTGCGAACACCACAGCCCCCAGGGCTCCTCGAGCCCAAATCCAAAACTATCAGAACCTCAACGCATCAACCCAATCTTGGGCGTGAGGTGGACACAGCTGGCTTCTGGGCTCGTGCTCTGAAGGTTGGCATAAGAGGACTGGGGCACTTAAGGACTAGCCTGGCACAAGGATTAGAAATAAACAAAGCCCAACTGGTGGGAGGAGCTGTGGCATGCAGCTCAAAACACGGGCTCTCGCAAGGCAAGAACCAAACGTAACAAACAGTTCGGGTTCTACCGATGCCTCGGCAGGGATCTCTGGCCATTGCAGCGGAGCGGGCGTCGTGGGAGCAGGCTGCTGAGAGGCCTTGGGCGTGTGTCGAAGGAATGTGTTGCCTGAGTAGCCAACTCCGGAACAACTCCGTCGTTAAAACAAAATGTCTGTAACATCAGTAACACTGAGACCCCGCGACGCTGAATGCCTGAGCCCATGAGACCTCGAAACCGATGAGATGCAGACACTCCATGGCGCTGCCCCAGGTGCAGACTCCCATTGCGCTCGTCACCCCATGCCCTAAAAATCCGAGAACCTCCATCTAAGCAAAGCACGACACGAAAGGCTGCGATGTATCTCCGAGGCTTACGGCTGAAGCTTCCCTTTTCAATGCTTTTCCAGGCCCCTCAATCAACCAACCTGCCCCAAAGCCCTGCCTGGGCTGGCGCTGGCCATGTCTGCTCAGCTGCTGCCACAGCCTGCCAAGCTTGCGGGCTTAGGGCCTAGCGCGTTGCAATCTTAAACTTGGCTAACAGTAGCTTCCCACTTTCTTCGGACCTGGTTCGCAGCGAGTTCACGCCTTCAATCTGTTTCAATCACGACTTGAAGTGGCGGGAGGCACATTTCATGAACGCAAGTTGCGCATAGATACTGCGTCCCCGAACTAGCAGCGTCAGGCCTCTGTAGGAGACTTTGGCCACTGCTCGGACGGGCTGCTGCTCTCAGGCGCAGGTGCAGAAGCCACCTGCGATTTTGCCCGAAAAGCCTGTCGTCCTAGATGCTCCGACAGATTCTGCGTTGGACATCAAGCACCGGAGTGGCTCAAAACCCCTGTCGCCTGGCCGGGTGACCCAGGCCATTGTGCAGAAAGGCTGCGGCTGGGCTCGGGCGAGGCAACATCCTGCTTCTTGGAGGGACTGGAGACCTGTTCAGAGGCAGGTGTGTGTGTGTGTGTGTGTGTGTGTGTGTGTGTGTGTGTGTGTGTGTGTGTGTGTGTGTGTGTGTGTGTGTGTGTGTGTGTGTGTGTGTGGTGTGTTGTGTGTGTGTGGTGTGTGTGTGTGTGTGTGTGTGTGTGTGTGTGTGTGTGTGTGTGTGTGTGTGTGTGTGTGTGTGTGGTGTGTGTGGTGTGTGTGGTGTGTGTGGTGTGTGTGGTGTGTGTGGTGTGTGTGTGTGTGTGTGTGTGTGTGTGTGTGTGTGTGTGTGTGTGTGTGTGTGTGTGTGTGTGTGTGTGTGTGTGTGTGTGTGTGTGTGTGTGTGTGTGTGTGTGTGTGTGTGTGTGTGTGTGTTTTGGTGTGTGTGTGTGTGTGTGTGTGTGTGTGTGTGTGTGTGTGTGTGTGTGTGTGTGTGTGTGTGTGTGTGTGTGTGTGTGTGTGTGTGTGTGTGTGTGTGTGTGTGTGTGTGTGTGTGTGTGTGTGTGTGTGTGCGTCTGTGGCTTCTGCCAGCTACAACACAATGGAATGTGCGGGACAAGCCCCTGCTGCGGAAACTTCGGATTCCAGCTCCGTCGACGCCCATTGGGGTTGGATGTCAGTGCCGCATTTCCCCCCTCGGCCTCTCCAGGTGACTCCCACGGCCCGGAAAGGCTGCCGCTGCGCTCACGCACCGCCGCCTCCTGCTTTTGGGATGCTCAGCTTTTCAACGGCAAGGACTGGAATACGGTATATCCAAGCTTGGGACAGGCAACAGGGTATGGATGGGAACCGGATGGAATCGGAGTTTTGGGGTTTGAAGGTTGAACACGCGCTGCTTCATGTTGGAATATCTACCTGGAGATGCAAACCTGCAGTTTTCTCGAGTCGCAGCTTTATAAACTTCTGAAAGTAGGAGGTTCACATTCCGCAGCCTGCAGCGGAGCGGCCGTCGTGGGAGCAGGCTGCTGAGAGGCCTTGGGCGTGTGTCGAAGGAATGCATTGCCTGAGTAAGCAACTCCGGAGCAACTCCGTTGTTCGGAAAGCAAAAATGTCAGTGACACTGAGAACCCGCAACACTCAATGCCTGAGCCTGTGAGACTTCGAAACCGATGAGATGCAGACGCTCCATGGCTCTCCCCCAGATGCAGACCCCCATTCCACTAAGCTCTTCACCCCATGCCCTAAAATCCGAGAACCTCCGTCTAAGCAGAGCCCGAAAAGACCGTGAGCACGCCTACCTGACAGGAAGCTTTTCTTTTCAGTGCTATTCCAGGCCCTTCAGTCAACCAACCCGAAAGCCCTGCCTGGGCTGGCGCTGGCCAGTGAGATGTCTGCTCAGCTGCTGCCACAGCCTGCCAAGCTTGTGGGCTTAGGGCCTGACGGGATGCTCATCTTATAATATCTTAGACTCTTGTAACAGTGTAGCACGTACAGTAGCTTTCCACTTTCTTCGCATTACTTGAAGTGGCGGGAAGCACACATCTACATATTTCGTGAACGCAAATTGAGCATCATACTGCGCCCCCGAAGCGGCCTCTGTTGGAGACTTCGGCCACTGCTCGGACAGGCTGCTGCTCTCAGGCGCAGGTGCAGAAGCCACCTGCGATTTTGCCCGAAAAGTCTGTCGTCCTAGATGCTCCGACAGATTCTGCGTTGGACATCAAGCACCGGAGTGGCTCAAACCCCTGTCGCCTGGCCGGGTGATCCAGGCCATTGCGCAGAAAGGCTGCGGCTGGGCTCAGGCGAAGCAGCATCCTGCTTCTTGGAGGGACTCGAGACCTGTTCGGAGGCAGTTGTGTGGGCATGCGGCAAAATCAACCGCGCCAGTGGCCTATACTGGCCAAGCACAGATACGCCCCTGCCAGGGAAACTGTCAGTGCCGCATTTCCTCCCTCGGCCTCCGCAGGTGACTCCCACGGCCCGGAAAGGCTGCCGCTGCGCTCACGCACCGCCGCCTCCTGCTTTTGGGATGCTAACTGCTCGTGCTCGAGCGGAGTAGGCACATGTAGCGCCCGAAGATCTCGGAGGGACCGAGAATTAACAGAGCCAATTTCATGCTGTGGGTACTCGGGTTTCGCGTTGGGGCTTAGTAACTTAGTAGTCACAAGGACTGGAATACAGGCTATCCAAGCTTGTGACAGGCGACAAGGTGTGGATGGGAACCGGATCGAGTTTCGGGGTTTTCAGGGTTGAACGTGCGCTGCTTCATGCTGGAATCTCTGCCTGGAGATGCAAACCTGCAGTTCCCGCATCAACAGCCTTTCAAAAATTCTGAAAGTAGGAGGTTCGCACTCCGCAGCCTAAACGTGCCTGAAACATCCCAAACCTGCTGCTTGGGATCTACGGATGCCTCGGAGGGCATCTCAGGCCATTGCAGCGGAGCGGGCGTCGTGGGAGCAGGCTGCTGAGAGGCCTTGGGCGTGTGTCGAAGGAATGCTTTGCCTGAGTAAGCAACTCCGGAACAACTCCGTTGATAAGGCAAAATGAAAGTGACGCTGAGACCCGGCAACACTGAACGCCTGAGCCCATGAGACTTCGAAACCGATGACATGCAGACGCTCCATGGCGCTCCCCCAGATGCAGGCTCCCATTTCCCCTCAGCTCTTCACCTCATGCCCTAACATCCCAGAACCTCCATCTAAGCAAAGCACGAAAAGACCGTGAGAGCGCCAACCCAACACGAAAGGCCCTGAAATCCAAAGAGTTTTTCGCTTCGGGACGTTTCTGGGATCGCGCTGTAGCTCCGAGAAATACGGCGGAAGCTTTTCTTTTCAGTGCTATTCCAGGCCCTTCAGTCAACCAACCCTAACGCCCTGCCAGGGCTGGCGCTGGCCAGTGAGATGTCTGCTCAGCTGCTGCCACAGCCTGCCAAGCTTGTGGGCTTAGGGCCTGACGGGATGCTCATCTTATAATATCTTAGACTCTTGTAACAGTGTAGCACGTACAGTAGCTTTCCACTTTCTTCGCATTACTTGAAGTGGCGGGAAGCACACATCTACATATTTCGTGAACGCAAATTGAGCATCATACTGCGCCCCCGAAGCGGCCTCTGTTGGAGACTTCGGCCACTGCTCGGACAGGCTGCTGCTCTCAGGCGCAGGTGCAGAAGCCACCTGCGATTTTGCCCGAAAAGTCTGTCGTCCTAGATGCTCCGACAGATTCTGCGTTGGACATCAAGCACCGGAGTGGCTCAAAACCCCTGTCGCCTGGCCGGGTGATCCAGGCCATTGCGCAGAAAGGCTGCGGCTGGGCTCAGGCGAAGCAGCATCCTGCTTCTTGGAGGGACTCGAGACCTGTTCGGAGGCAGTTGTGTGGGCATGCGGCAAAATCAACCGCGCCAGTGGCCTATACTGGCCAAGCACAGATACGCCCCTGCCAGGGAAACTGTCAGTGCCGCATTTCCTCCCTCGGCCTCCGCAGGTGACTCCCACGGCCCGGAAAGGCTGCCGCTGCGCTCACGCACCGCCGCCTCCGGCTTTTGGGATGCTAACTGCTCGTGCTCGAGCGGAGTAGGCACATGTAGCGCCCGAAGATCTCGGAGGGACCGAGAATTAACAGAGCCAATTTCATGCTGTGGGTACTCGGGTTTCGCGTTGGGGCTTAGTAACTTAGTAGTCACAAGGACTGGAATACAGGATATCCAAGCTTGTGACAGGCGACAAGGTGTGGATGGGAACCGGATCGAGTTTCGGGGTTTTCAGGGTTGAACGTGCGCTGCTTCATGCTGGAATCTCTGCCTGGAGATGCAAACCTGCAGTTCCCGCATCAACAGCCTTTCAAAAATTCTGAAAGTAGGAGGTTCGCACTCCGCAGCCTAAACGTGCCTGAAACATCCCAAACCTGCTGCTTGGGATCTACGGATGCCTCGGAGGGCATCTCAGGCCATTGCAGCGGAGCGGGCGTCGTGGGAGCAGGCTGCTGAGAGGCCTTGGGCGTGTGTCGAAGGAATGCTTTGCCTGAGTAAGCAACTCCGGAACAACTCCGTTGATAAGGCAAAATGAAAGCTGAGACCCGGCAACACTGAACGCCTGAGCCCATGAGACTTCGAAACCGATGACATGCAGACGCTCCATGGCGCTCCCCCAGATGCAGACTCCCATTTCCCCTAAGCTCTTCACCCCATGCCCTAACATCCCAGAACCTCCATCTAAGCAAAGCACGAAAAGACCGTGAGAGCGCCAACACGAAAGGCCCTGAAATCCAAAGAGAGTTTTTCGCTTCGGGACGTTTTTGGGATCGCGCTGTAGCTCCGAGAAATACGGCGGAAGCTTTTCTTTTCAGTGCTATTCCAGGCCCTTCAGTCAACCAAACCTAACGCCCTGCCTGGGCTGGCGCTGGCCAGTGAGATGTCTGCTCAGCTGCTGCCACAGCCTGCCAAGCTTGTGGGCTTAGGGCCTGACGGGATGCTCATCTTATAATATCTTAAACTCTTGTAACAGTGTAGCACGTACAGTAGCTTTCCACTTTCTTCGCATTGCTTGAAGTGGCGGGAAGCACACATCTACATATTTCGCGAACGCAAATTGAGCATCATACTGCGCCCCCGAAGCGGCCTCTGTAGGAGACTTCGGCCACTGCTCGGACAGGCTGCTGCTCTCAGGCGCAGGTGCAGAAGCCACCTGCGATTTTGCCCGAAAAGTCTGTCGTCCTAGATGCTCCGACAGATTCTGCGTTGGACATCAAGCACCGGAGTGGCTCAAAACCCCTGTCGCCTGGCCGGGTGATCCAGGCCATTGCGCAGAAAGGCTGCGGCTGGGCTCAGGCGAAGCAGCATCCTGCTTCTTGGAGGGACTCGAGACCTGTTCGGAGGCAGTTGTGTGGGCATGCGGCAAAATCAACCGCGCCAGTGGCCTATACTGGCCAAGCACAGATACGCCCCTGCCAGGGAAACTGTCAGTGCCGCATTTCCTCCCTCGGCCTCCGCAGGTGACTCCCACGGCCCGGAAAGGCTGCCGCTGCGCTCACGCACCGCCGCCTCCTGCTTTTGGGATGCTACCTGCTCGTGCTCGAGGGACCGAGCATTAACAGAGCCATGCTGTGGGTACTCAGGTTTCGCGTTGGGGCTTAAGAGTCATGCTTCCTTTGTTTGCAACGGCAAGCACTGGAATACAGGATATCCAAGCTTGTGACAGGCGAGAGTGCGTAGACGGGATGGAATCAGAGTTTTGGGGTTCCAGGGTTGAAGGTGCACTGCTTTACATTTTGGAATCGCTGCCTGGAGATGCAAACCTGCAGGTCCCGCATCGACAGAGTAGGAGCTCAACAGGTCCGAAATCGTCCGAATGCTGCTATATGGATCTACCGATGCCTCGGCGGGCATCTCAGGCCATTGCAGCGGAGCGGGCGTCGTGGGAGCAGGCTGCTGAGAGGCCTTGGGCGTGTGTCGAATGAATCGTTTGCCTGAGTAACCAACTCCGGAACAGTTCCGTTGCTCGGAAAGCAAAAATGTCAGTGACATGGAGACCCCGCAACACTGATCGCCTGAACCCATGAGACTTCGAAACCGATGAGATGCAGACGCTCCATGGCTCTCCCCCAGATGCAGACCCCCATTCCATTCGAGAACCTCCATATACCTCCTGCTAAGCAGAGCCCGGAAAAGACCGTTCGCACGCCAACCCGACACGCAAGAAAGGCCCTGAAATCCAAAGAGTTTTGCGCTTCGGGACGTTTCTGGGATCGCGCTATCGCTCCGAGGCTTGTAGCGGAAGCTTTTCTTCTCAATGCTTTTCCAGGCCCCTCAGTCAACCAACCTGCCCTAAAGCCCTGCCTGGGCTGGCGCTGGCCATGTCTGCTCAGCTGCTGCCACAGCCTGCCAAGCTTGCGGGCTTAGGGCCTAGCTGGATGGTAATCTTAAACTCGTCTAACAGTGTAGCACCTACAGTAGCTGCAGTAGCTTCCCACTTTCTTCGGACTTGGTTCGCAGCGAGTTCACGCCTTCAGCCTGTTTCAATCATGAATTGAAGTGGCAGGAAGCACATACCTATTTCATGAACGCAAATTGAGCATAGAGACTGCGTCCCCGAAGTAGCAGTGTCAGGCCTCTGTAGGAGACTTTGGCCACTGCTGGGACAGGCTGCTGCCCTCGGGCGCAGGTGCAGAAGCCACCTGCCCGCGGCAAGGGCAGGGCTTGTGATTTTGAATTTGCCCGACAGTCAACGGTTCTAGTCCCTCCAACAGACTCTGCGTTGATCAAACACTGGAGTGGCTCCCCTTCTGCCTGGGCAGGTGATCCAGGCCATTGCGCAGAAAGACTGCGGGCGGGCTCAGGCGAAGCAACATCCGGCTGCTTGGAGGGACTCGAGACCTGGTCGGAGGCAGATGCGTGTGTGTGTGGTGCTTCTGCCAGCTACGGTATGCGGCAAAGTCAACGGCGCCAGTGGACTGTACGGGTGCGCTCCGGCATCACCGCCTCCTGCTTTTGGCATGCTAGCTGCTCAAGCTGAGTGTCCCAGGCACAGTAACGCCCGAAGATCTCGGAGGGACCGAGAATCAACAAAGGCAAGGACTGGAATACAGGATATCCAAGCTTGTGACAGGCGACAAGGTCTGGATGGGAACCGGATGGAATCGGAGTTTTGGGGTTTCAGGGTTAAAAGTGCGCTGCTTCATTTTGGAATCTCTGCCTGGAGATGCAAACCTGCAATTCCCGCATCGAAAGTTTTTCAAAATTCTGAAACGTGCCTGAGACATCCCAAAGTCATCCTTCGAGGTCCGAGAAATGTCCGAAAGGTTTGGGGCTATACGGCTATATGGATCTACCGATGCCTCGGCGGGCATCTCAGGCCATTGCAGCGGAGCGGGCGTCGTGGGAGCAGGCTGCTGAGAGGCCTTGGGCGTGTGTCGAATGAATGGTTTGCCTGAGTAACCAACTCCGGAACAACTCCGTTGTTCGGAAAGCAAAATTGTCAGTGACACGCAGACCCCTCAACACTGATCGCCTGAGATGAGATGCAGACGCTCCATGGCTCTCCCCCAGATGCAGACCCCCATTCCACTAAGCTCTTCACCCTATGCCCAAAAATTCGAGAACCTCCATATACCTCCTGCTAAGCAGAGCCCGAAAAAGACCGTTCGCACGCCAACCCGACACGAAAGGCCCTGAAATCCAAAGAGTTTTGCGCTTCGGGACGTTTCTGGGATCGCGCTATCGCTCCGAGGCTTCTTTTCCAGGCCCCTCAGTCAACCAACCTGCCCTAAAGCCCTGCCTGGGCTGGCGCTGGCCATGTCTGCTCAGCTGCTGCCACAGCCTGCCAAGCTTGCGGGCTTAGGGCCTAGCTGGATGGTAATCTTAAACTCGTCTAACAGTGTAGCACCTACAGTAGCTGCAGTAGCTTCCCACTTTCTTCGGACTTGGTTCGCAGCGAGTTCACGCCTTCAGTCTGTTTCAATCATGAACTGAAGTGGCGGGAAACACATACCTATTTCATGAACGCAAATTGCGCATAGAGACTGCGTCCCCGAAGTAGCAGTGTCAGGCCTCTGTAGGAGACTTTGGCCACTGCTGGGACAGGCTGCTGCCCTCGGGCGCAGGTGCAGAAGCCACCTGCCCGCGGCAAGGGCAGGGCTTGTGATTTTGAATTTGCCCGACAGTCAACGGTTCTAGTCCCTCCAACAGACTCTGCGTTGATCAAACACCGGAGTGGCTCCCCTTCTGCCTGGGCAGGTGATCCAGGCCATTGCGCAGAAAGACTGCGGGCGGGCTCAGGCGAAGCAACATCCGGCTGCTTGGAGGGACTCGAGACCTGGTCGGAGGCAGGTGCGTGTGTGTGTGGTGCTTCTGCCAGCTATGGTATGCGGCAAAGTCAACGGCGCCAGTGGACTGTACGGGTGCGCCCCGGCATCACCGCCTCCTGCTTTTGGCATGCTAGCTGCTCAAGCTGAGTGTCCCAGGCACAGTAACGCCCGAAGATCTCGGAGGGACCGAGAATCAACAAAGGCAAGGACTGGAATACAGGATATCCAAGCTTGTGACAGGCGACAAGGTCTGGATGGGAACCGGATGGAATCGGAGTTTTGGGGTTTCAGGGTGAGAAGTGCGCTGCTTCATTTTGGAATCTCTGCCTGGAGATGCAAACCTGCAATTCCCGCATCGAAAGTTTTTCAAAATTCTGAAACGTGCCCGAAACATCCCAAAGTCATCCTTCGAGGTCCGAGAAATGCCCGAAAGGTTTGGGGCTATACGGCTATATGGATCTACCGATGCCTCGGCGGGCATCTCAGGCCATTGCAGCGGAGCGGGCGTCGTGGGAGCAGGCTGCTGAGAGGCCTTGGGCGTGTGTCGAATGAATGGTTTGTCTGAGTAACCAACTCCGGAACAACTCCGTTGTTCGGAAAGCAAAATTGTCAGTGACACGCAGACCCCTCAACACTGATCGCCTGAGATGAGATGCAGACGCTCCATGGCTCTCCCCCAGATGCAGACCCCCATTCCACTAAGCTCTTCACCCTATGCCCAAAAATTCGAGAACCTCCATATACCTCCTGCTAAGCAGAGCCCGAAAAAGACCGTTCGCACGCCAACCCGACACGAAAGGCCCTGAAATCCAAAGAGTTTTGCGCTTCGGGACGTTTCTGGGATCGCGCTATCGCTCCGAGGCTTCTTTTCCAGGCCCCTCAGTCAACCAACCTGCCCCAAAGCCCTGCCTGGGCTGGCGCTGGCCATGTCTGCTCAGCTGCTGCCACAGCCTGCCAAGCTTGCGGGCTTAGGGCCTAGCTGGATGGTAATCTTAAACTCGTCTAACAGTGTAGCACCTACAGTAGCTGCAGTAGCTTCCCACTTTCTTCGGACTTGGTTCGCAGCGAGTTCACGCCTTCAGCCTGTTTCAATCATGAATTGAAGTGGCAGGAAGCACATACCTATTTCATGAACGCAAATTGAGCATAGAGACTGCGTCCCCGAAGTAGCAGTGTCAGGCCTCTGTAGGAGACTTTGGCCACTGCTGGGACAGGCTGCTGCCCTCGGGCGCAGGTGCAGAAGCCACCTGCCCGCGGCAAGGGCAGGGCTTGAATTTTGCGCCAAAGTCAACGGTTCCAGTCGCTCCCCAACAGACTCTGCGTTGGAGGTCAAGCACTGGAGTGGCTTCTGCCTGGGCAGGTGATCCAGGCCATTGCGCAGAAAGACTGCGGCTGGGCTCAGGCGGCGAAGCAGCATCCTGCTGCTTGGAAGGTGTAGGTGTGGGTGTGGTTGTAGGTGTTGGTGTAGGGGTAGGTGTAGGTTTTAGGTGTAGGTGTAGGCGCAGGCGCAGGCGCAGGCGTAGGCATAGGCGTAGGTGTAGGCGTAGACGTAGACGTAGGTGTAGGTGTATATATAGGTGTATAGGTGTAGGTGTAGGTGTAGGTGTAGGTGTAGGTGTAGGTGTAGGTGTAGGTGTAGGTGTAGGTGTAGGTGTAGGTGTAGGTGTGGCGCACGCGGCAGGTACATGGCAGGTGGCAAAATCAACGGCTCCACTGGCCAAACACAGGTCAGTACTGCATTTCGTCCCTCGGCCTCGGCGGGTGACTCCCACTGCCCGGAAAGGCTGCCGCTACGCGCAGGCGTCGCTGCCTCCAGCTTTGGCGCGCGAACTGCTCAAGCGGCATGTACAAGGGGGTCTCAAAGAAACTTGGAGCCTGCAAGGCCGGGTGAGGGCTTGACTGGGTTTGCAGGGATGTGCAAGACTACATAATTGGAGGGTCTAGATGCTAAAAGGGCTGTGCCTCAAGCTGTAACGAAGCCCCTGAGGGCGGCCCAGGCCATTGCCCTGAAAGCTTGACGCGCTCGGGTGCAGAAACTACCTGGGTGCGGCGTGAGATCGTGGAACGCTAAGCTCAGGTGTATTTGCCTTTTTCAAGTCAGCACTTTCGGATGCCCCCGCAAACCCTAAACCCTAAACCCTAAACCCTAAACCCTAAACCCTAAACCCTAAACAGTTGACGACACAACAAAGCTCCGACGGCCTGCTCAGGAGGGCTGGCAGTCGGCAACCCATTGGCCACGGACGGGCGGGCATCCTTCGTGAGCACCGACAAGTCACTTAAATCATAGATTCATAGGGTTTATAGGGTTTCGGGTTTGGGGTTTAGGGTTAGGGTTTAGGGTTTAGGGTTTAGGGTCTAGGGTCTAGGGTCTAGGGTTTAGGGTTTAGGGTTTAGGGTTTAGGGTTTAGGGTGTAGGGTGTAGGGTTTAGGGTTTAGGGTTTAGGGTTTAGGGTTTTAGGGTTTAGGGTTTAGGGTTTAGGGTTTAGGGTTTAGGGTTTAGGGTTTAGGGTTCAGGGTTTAGGGTTTAGGGTTTAGGGTTAGGGTTTAGGGTTTAGGGATAGCCCAGCAGAGCGCCAGTGTGCCTGAATGGCCCTCAAGTTTGTCAGAGTACCACAGGCATTGAACGCCTCTGGTGTGGATTCGGGTGTATACCCATGCTCTTAAGCCCGCTCGGCCAACCACCAAGCCTAGAAGCTGTCCTTATGCAAAGCAAGTTGTTCCTGTCAATGGGCGGGTTCAGATTAGGGGTGGGGGGGGGGGGGGGGGGGGCGGGGGGGGGGGGGGGTAAGGGTTACTTGCAAGGGCCCACTGTATGCACAGCGCTAAGGGAGCCCCTGTCCTCTGGCCACCGCGTAGGCTCAGCTGACTGCAGTGGCGAGACCTGGCAGTTCCGTCTCTGCTTTATCGGCTGGGGGCCCTTCCTTCGAAAACAGTTTGGGGTTTAGGGTTTAGGGTTTAGGGTCTAGGGTTCAGGCAGACGGCGTAAAGGAATGAGGCTATCCTTGCAGGCTTCCTGCCTTGTATGACTTGAGCAACCATCCCCGCCCCCCTCCTATGATTCAACCCCCTCCACTTGTATTTTTTTTGCATATCTATAGTTGTAGCCGTGTTCTGCTAGCTGCCTTAGTAGGGGCTAAGCTTTAAACTCTAGATACCCAACCCCTACCTTCGCAACACAAAGCTGGCTTCTCAACCGCCAGATCTGTCGGATACTGCAGGGTCCTAAAGAACACCCTTCAATCCTTCAGCCCAGACCCTCAACCCTGAAACATCTGAAACCCAAAACCTTAACCCTAAACCCCAAACCCAAATATTCCTCAGAAGCGTCAAGTGCCTCCGAGGGCGATTGAGGCCACGATGGCATCCCCGGAGCCCGAGACGCTGCCTCTTTGGGACTCCGGGCTCTCCAAACCCGGGATTCCCCCGAAACCTCCGAAACCATCTGAAACCCAAACCTCAGATTCCACCAGGCTTACACTGTCGATCGGGTAAGGCAGAACACACCACTGCCTGTGTCGGCGGCCAAGAATGTGTCGGAGTCTCCCGTAGGGTGGCCTGAGATCGGTATCGTATGCTGTCTCGGGTCTCGAGTAATCCTCGTCAACAAGCTCGCCTGTCCGGGTGAAGCTGCAGCCGGTGAGCGACCCGAGTCCTGACCACATGGTGAGACACATATATATATATATATATATATATATATAATATGTACATATATATATATATACATATATATATATATATATATTTATTTATTTATCTTTATTTATTTATTTATCTATTTATATTTATTCATATATATATTTATCTATTTATATTTATCTATTTATGTATTTGTTTATTCATTTTTGTAGTTGTTTTTTGCATTTATCTATTTATTTGCTTGTATTTATTTATCTATCTATGTATTTATTTACTTATTTACTTATTCATGCATGTATCAATTCTTTTTTTACATCTATTTATATATATATATATCTCTCTCTCTCTCTCTCTCTCTCTCCGCCGCCCCAGCTCTTGGGGTCGAGCGCCGGGGAAGCCCTTTGCATGGCAGGCAGTCTGGCTGGCTACTCTACCCTCTTGGACCTCCTCGACCACTCCCCCACCCCCAACCCCCCCGCCCCCCCGCCCACCCCCCCCTTCCCCCACCCCATTCAGCACTTGCAGGAACCTATCCGGCCGAACAGGTCCTAACGTAGCACTTGCGAACAGAACGAAGAAATGACCCAACAGGCCCCCAAAAGGTCCTAAACCCGAAACCCTAAACCCTAAACCCTAAACCCTCCTGAACGTCTGAGGGTGTTCCAGGCCATGGGCTCAAGGTCGACTGGGCCTCAGGCAAAGATTGCGAGCCTTAAAGCCTTCAAGTACGCGACACGGGCAATGAAGCGTTTTGATTCTCTGCACCTTGCATGACATTCTTACCAAGATCGATAAGGTAGGAAGAAGTACGTTCTTGCAGTTCCGATTCCTTTGTCCCGAACTTTTCTTCGTGCGGAAGGTCGCTCACAGTGCTTGGGCCTTGACGGCGAAGGAGGTCATTGCCATCTTGCCGACGGAGCTCACAACCCACCCCATTAGCGCTCGAACTACACGCCTCGAAAGAGAAAATTCCGGTTCTGAGCCCTATCAGCCCGAAGATGGGACGACCGCTTCGGGCGCCCCCCTTCCCACAAGACTCCAGCTCAAGACCCCATGAAATTGAACCTATAAAAATATATATATATATATATATATATATAAATAAATCCTTAAGCCCAAGCCCAGAGACCAACAGAACCCCAAATCACAAAATCCTGCACACGCCGCGCCAGAATGCTCCAACTTCCGGGCGCTCGGCTGCAACCGGCAGCAGCCCTGCTGCGCCCGTTCCGGCCGCGCTGGCCGCCTCACCGTCCACACATACTGCAACTCGAATAACATCAACTCGCCTCACGTCTGTTCGCACTTCTTTCCATGCAAGCCAAGCAAGGATGTAGCAGCTATAGGGTGGTATGAACCACAGGAAGCAAGACTCCGGAGCCAAAAGCCCTGAACCACGAGCAAGTGCCAGAAGGCTTCCTCCGTCACCGTTTCAAAGTTCGTTCGTCCCTGGTATCTGCTCGGCTTGCTAGGTCCAGAAGGCTACAGCCTGCCCTTGCTTCATGAAGGGAAGGCTGCAGGCCTGAATCCCTAGAACAGCGCCTGGATTCAAAAGATTCTGAGTGCAGCTTGAACGCAAGCTGCAACACCCCAAGCCCGAGGCACAAGCCAAAACTCTTCAAACCGTACTTGTAGCAATGCAGAACACCTGATCCCATGCCTCAGCGATCCCTGGCCACTGCATGGGCTGAGACGGCGTCGCTGGAGACAGCTGTGGAGAGACCTTCAGCATCCAACGAGCTTGAAGAGGGAGATTTTGGCATGCGTTTTGTCATTTCGCGAGTTGAGAGAGCTGCGGGTTGAAGATCCATCGTCTATCCCCGAGGTTGGCTTTGGGCTGCGGAGTGTTCAGAATTGAAAGCTGGGTGGGAGCCTGGGTGGCTGGTTGACACGCACCCCAGCTCAGAATGGACGATAGATGCTCAAGACAGCTAGGCCGAGAGTGCTATCCTCAATCCACAGGAGCAGGGTCAAAAACCTCATAGTCCAAGTCCAAATCCCTTAGTGCGCGCCACGTACGTCTTGCTTACGCACGCACAGCTTTCGCTTGCGCGGCTTGGTTGCCAGGCCTGCTTGCTTACGAGCTTATGCTGGTGCCTTTGACCCTGCAATATACAAGTCCTGGACAAGCAGGCCGCACAAGATGTGGTGGGAGCTTGCAAGGTCGTTCTGAAAAGGGGGGGCGCACAAACTCACCGCTCGAAAATGAGGGGGTGGGAACAATGCTTTCAAGCCCAAAACATCCCAAACCCCTGGCCGACCTGCGCGGAGCTTACGCGGAGCTTGCGTTGAGATCGAGCTTCTGAGGGGCGTTTGCTTAGACTGCTGTTGGACCAGGGAGGCTTATGAAGGCAGCTGGAATCATGACTTCTCGGTTTTAGGAAGCGGGAGCCCACCCCAAACAACTTAGCTTAGAACGTGGTCAAAACTGTTGCTTACACGGACGCTTACGTGTACATAATTGATCATGGCCAGTTTCTGACCAAATCGCCACGACACCCAAGCGCAGAACCCTGAAAACCCTAAACCCTAAACCCTAAACCCTAAACCTGAAACCTTCGAAACATCAGGTCGACCTCGGCTTTCTGAGTTGGCCAGGCTTGCGATGCCTGGAAGGGCACGGAAGGCTCAGACACTCACTCGATCCTGCGGTGTGTTGTCAAATAAAAATGAAATGTTCAATGCCCTCTTGGGGTTTTTTATATAAACAAAGATACAAAAATAATTCCCAAGGGGATATAGTCATTACTTTGATGACGAGTGCTGCAGCATTCAGGAGCTTCAGAGATGCCACAGCCGCAACGCAAACATCCAAAGCCACACGCACTTCTGCTGACGAGCCTGCGGTGCCGGTTTGTTGAGCAAAGCGCCTGGGCCTCGACTGGACTTCTCTTGCGGCTGCAGCTTTTGGAGCTCACTTTCTCGATAACTTCATAGGCTACTTCTAAAAGGTGCAGGCTGCAGATCTCGTAGTCTAGAGCTCGTAGGAGCATCGACCAGCGATTACATGAAAGGGACCTTGGAGATCTCTCCACAAAATCCCCTAAACCCTAAACCCTAAACCCGATTCCAGCATCACGTCAGACTGTAGCCATCCATGACTCTTCAGGGCCACAGATCTTGAGGGAGCAGTGGTTTCAGCTTTGAAGGATGGGTTGTGGAGTTAGGATTTGGGATGTGGACCTGCGGATTTTCAATTTTAGGGTTTAGGGTTTAGGGTTCAGGGTTTCGGGTTTAGGGTTTAGGGTTTAGGGTTTAAGGTTTAGGGTTTAGGGTTTCAAACTTAGATTGCTATCTGTAGGCTGAAGGGACAAAGCGGAGCATGCCCAGGCTTAGTCCCTGTCGCAGGCCCAGGGACTGCAGCAAGGCCTGCAATTGGCTCCTATCTGTCCAAGTGTCTGGGCGGCTTCGATTCAGGGTGTAATCTGGGGGGTTGGCATAAATGCTAATTAAAAAATTTTCCCTCATGGTCCCTTAATGTTATACTATAGTAACCCCCAAAGCCCTCTTCTGAATATTAAGGCTCCTACAGTACCGGTGCAGGGTTTCACCGGACGTCTGGCAAACAGGTACTCTAGCGGTGCCTGGCGGCTTCGGTTCCAGTACCAGGTGGTCTCTGTACTGCCGGCGTGAAAGGTTGCCGAGAGTTAAGGGGAATGACTACGGGTGCTTGGCTTTTGAGAATTTCAGGGGGCATGTCTTGTCGAACGTCAAGTCTGATGAGTCGGTGCCCTTGGATATGGCCTTGAGTGCAGTGAGCACACCAAAGATCCCGTAGCAATGTGTTCAGCGGTCTGGTCACACCCAAGGTGGAAAACATGTAGGGCAACGAACACTCACTGAGACATGTATGTAAATTACTGGGGCGCCTTGCCCTTACATGGCGGAAAACCGTGTCACAGCCCGCACCTTTCGATGCGCTGCGCTCTTCGCATTGCGCTGTGGCCTTGGCTTGTGCAGTTGTGCAGCTCAGAACAATGCGATTTAGGGTGCATGGGGCTGGAAGTTGGAACTCCTATCGCTAGACAACTGGCACACTCCTCAGTCCTCGTCGAGCCGATGACATTATATAAACACAATGATTGACATACGGATATATATATATATATATGTATATATGTATATAACTATCTTATGTATGAAGCTATGCATTTGTACCTGTATACATGTCAAAGTGCCAAGAACAAACAGATGTATAAATGCACGCATGCGCACAGGGACCTCCACTGAGAATTATTTGATTTACATTTGCTTGTTTCAGACTCATCCTTTACACGTTTTCTTGCCGTAGGGCCTAAACGTGTACGACTTAAGATGCACAATAGAAACGTTGAACATTGTCTTTGGTGTTCGTGCTGTTGTCTTAACATGTGCCGTTGCCTTAACATGTGCTGTTGCCGCTGCGGTTGCTGCTGTCGCTGCGGTTGCTGCGGTTGCTGCAGTTGCAGTTGCAGTCTCTGCACTTGCTGCAGTTGCTGCAGATGCTGCAGTTGCTGCTGTTGTTGCTGTTTGTTGCTGTTGTTGCTGTTGCTGCTGCGACATAGACTAGCGAGTAGATCAGCGAGTATAGTTCAGGCTAACATTCAACTATTCCTACTTTCTTCGTTGTGGAGATGCTTGCTACTATATGAGCTGCATTAACGCATGAAATTCATATGATGTGTGTTGCTTATATGATTCTATTACTTGCATTATGTTTGTCCATGTTTCGTGTATTCTTGTGACTGATTATGTTGGTTGTAATGATGTTGTTGTACGTTTTGAAACATCTGAAGTTTTTCTACTTCCTGGAGTACAACAATTATGTTTCATATTGTGTCCAGCAGTACTGTTTAACTGTGTTTGAGTACGTTGAAACGCATTAGGTACATTCACGATTTGCACTATAGGACTATACTTATCATCTGAACTATATTGAGGAAACGTCTGGCATCGCAATCCCAGAGACATAGATTTGGGAGCATTTGGTACTTCTGGATTCAGGACTTCGCTAGGTGTTCGAGCTTCGGACTTGGGACTTCTCCCAGCTTGAGTCGAGCCAGGCGCTGTCACGTAGCCAAATACCAAGTCGTTATCCCGCTTTCTTGAAACAGGTTTGCGGCATGTCCCTGCTAGTAGCAGCCAGAACTACCCAACATGCAAAAAATTCGTTCTAGGATCCTGCATCTGTTCTGACCCCTGAGCAAAGCCAAGGCCGGCGCAAGCTGCTCTTATTGCGCGGGATGGGCTGCAGGATGTTCCTTGACCGTCGAAGCCGAGACCAGAGTCTGTCTTTAGGGTTTAGGGGTTAGGGTTTAGGGTTTAGGGTTTAGGGTTTAGGGTTTAGGGTTTAGGGTTTAGGGTTTAGGGTTTAGGGTTTAGGGTTTAGGGTTTGGGGTTTGGGGTTTGGGGTTTGGGGTTTGGGGTTTGGGGTTTGGGGTTTGGGGTTTAGGGTTTGGGGTTTAGGGTTTAGGGTTTTAGTCTTCAGGAGCAGCAAAGAGGCATTGGGGCGACCGGGACCAAGACTCTCCCAATGCAAACTTGTCAGAGTCATGAGGTTGGGCTGCATGCATAAGGGATACAGGCTTAGATGTGGCTGCGGTATGCAGATGTGGATTTTTTGAGGCACGATGAAACACGTTCTTGCGCCGTCCAGCTTGCAAAACCGAGGCCAACGCCCGGACGCGCCAGCTGAGGAGGGACTGGTGGACTGGCGAATGGGCAGGGAGCATTGCCAGATTTGAGAGAAAAGGAAAATTGAGAGGAAACAGATACTGGTATCAGTGATTATCGATGAAGTTTGCGACGGCAGAGTACAGATGCCTTCACTCAGCGATGCGGCTTGCCACGAACAAAGAGTGCGTTCTCTCGCTCATTCTGTCCCTCTCTCTCTCTCCCTTTCTCTCTCTCTCTCTCTCTCTCTCTCTCTCTCTCTCTCTCTCTCTCTCTCTCTCTCTCTCTCTCTCTTTCTCTCTCTATCTCTTTCTCTCTCTCTCTCTCTCTCTCTCTATCTCTCTCTCTCTCTCTCTCTCTCTCTCTCTCTCTCTCTCTCTCTCTCTCTCTCTCTCTCTCTCTCTCTCTCCTTCTGTGTCTTTCTGTTCCGGAACCATTGGACCTGTGCAAATGTTCACTAGCTACCTTTTGTTCTGCTGGTCCGACATCCCGTGGCAAAATGGCAATCTCACTGGCGCAAGTAGCAGAGTTGTCTTTAGATAAAGGATAAATGCTTGCGGCAAGACAGTGTCCAGCCACACATCCCAAATGCTACAAGCTTCCCTTGGGGTGCTAAAGGGCGCAATCCACCTGGATGCTCGCCAGGATCGCTTGCTGTTCAAGCAGCTCCTCATCCAGGCTGGATGGGTGTAGGGTTTAGGGTTTAGGGTTTAGCGTTTAGGGTTTAGGGTGTAGGGCTTAGGGTTTAGGGTGGAAGGCTTAGGGTTTAGGGCTTAGGGTTTAGGGTTTAAGGTTTAGTACTTTATTTTTGGGATTTAGGGATGTGTGGTGATGCCACGCAGACTATCCCCTGATGAATGTCTGAAGCAGGTTCATTGCATGAACCTTCTGTAGCGCTTTGACACTCGCTTTTGGTTCATTTAGTATGAACCATCTGTACCAGTGTTTAGAATGCAACAAAGAGCATTCTTTGAAGGACAAACGCGGTTTATAGCACTGTACAAGAGCATAATGCTGCGCGACCCCGAGCATTATGCGATTTTACGCATCTGGAAAAAGGCGTTAAACACCACCAGAAACAGGTGTTTTTACGAATGCGATTTTGGAGCATATGCGACTTGGAGCATAGGTAATGCGATTTGTCGCATAGGGAATGCGGTTAAGAGCATCTGATTAGTGCTTTTGCAAGAGTGAAACACAGCCCTAATCAGCCACTACATTCTCTTCGTGCTTCTCAAGGAATGCATCCACAAGAGTGAGAATATAGTTTTTTGAAGTCTTGCCCTTGCTCTCGCTCTGCGTGACGATGCCATCGTGAAGCAACTGTGAAGCCCTTTCCTTCGCCTCGGTGACGTAGTCAATCACGCTAAGCATCTTGTTAATTTCAGCGTCGTAATTGATGAGTGACAACATCTTTACGTCAATGTTGGACTTGTCGCTTTCCATATAGGTCTTAATCTCTTGCAAAGACTTCACATCCAATTTCTTGGTGAACTCGTGGAATGAAAGGCTGTTCATTGATTTTGCCGCGGTTGCTGCTTTCACAACATCTTGAAACGACCCGAGAGCCCCACGCACTTGCGGCACAAGTTTGTGCCCTTCCCCGGGTCGTTCTTCTCCAAGTAGGCGCCGCACACCGCAAACTCAGCGAACGAATCATTTATTCCACCACTTCGTCCCATTTCGTCCCCACCTCTATCCACCCCTGTCCTACCCCTCTGAGACCAGAACATTGAGGCACTGCCAGGGTTCCCACTCCTTCTCCCATGCAGCCAACTCCTGCTCATCATCAACACAAAGACGAACACCCAGACGTTTCCACCACCGCCCAAACAGATAAACGTCCAAACTCCTCCGCAGTGTACTCCGGCTCTTGCTCCGGCGGGGGCGCCTTGCACACACGCACGCATGTATGCACACAAACAAGCCAATCGATTTCGCACGAACGTATTAGCAAAAAGAAATCACCTCAATTTCCCCCACGACACCGAAGCGCGCCTTCCGCTTCACCCGCCTCTTGGGCGCTGCGGCCTCCCAACACAAGTAAAATGAATTTTTCGTTGACCTCTCTCCACACAATATATCTGTAGCACACGCCGACACGCACGAGCACGTAGTTTTGTTTCGGCGCACCTCGGGCACAACGTTGACAGCGGGGCGCTTCACCATGGCCTCAAGCAAAAAGTTAAATATTTTTCCCATTTCCCACCCCCCGCATGCCTTCCCCCGACCACAAACACATCACGAAACGAGCATGAAGCCAACCGAGATCCCCGCGAGCTGGCAGAGTGTACTTCTTTTGCGAGGCTTGAGCACTTGAGCACAGAAAATGCTGCCACACTCAAATCACAAATTGATTAAAACAAAAAGGCAAGCACATTCATGAGCGAAAGACCAATAAGTATCCAACCTCGCACTGCCCCCCCCCCCCCCCGCCACACACACACACACACAAACCGACGCCAACAACAAAAACACACACCACACGACCATCCCCTAGTCCCTCCCTCCCAAATCCATCCTCCAAATCCATGATTCTACCTTCCTTTTCCTGCTCGCGTCCCTTCCCAAGCAAATACATTCTTCGTTTATAATGGAAAATCAAAATCTCCTCCCAACCCAAGAAAAAATCTTGTGTTTCGTATATTCAAAACAAGGTCAATCCGGGAACCCCCCCCCACGCCAACGCGAACAACAAAAACACACCACACAACCATCCCCTAATCCTTCCCTCCCAAACCAATCCTCCAGAACCATGTTTCCGGCAACCTTGTCCTGCCCACGTCGCTTCCCAAATAAATGATTTCTTCATTTACAATGAAATATAAACAAATTCTGCTTAACCCAAGAAAAACAATTTTGTTTCGTATGCTGCCAAAAAAAAAGGGACCCCCGCAAAAAGATTAATAGCCAATATAGGAATTCGGATTTTCAAATAAAAACATCCTCCATTCAATTCAGAATCGGAGATGGTGCCGGGCTTTTAAGCACGACGGGGCATCTTGGAGAGCACGAAATTCGTGGTGCGTGTCGTTTTGTGTTGAGTGGGTTCTCGGGCTTCAGTTCATTACTTAATTGGTGCTTTTGGGAGCAGAAGTCTCTTGCACCGACCTTGTATGCAACGCATTCTGGGATCATGAAGTCCTTCCTGACATCTTCATCATGGGACATAAACGACAAGTCTTCCCCGATCTCATATCCCCCCATTCCCCATATCAATAAAAAAAATCATATTTATCCTCTTCTCTCGTCATGCTTTTCTTGAAATAATGAATCGAAATTCAATTTCTCTTCTCTCTTCTCTTTTCTCTCTTCTCTCTTCCCTCTTGTCTCTTCTCTCTTCTCTGTTCTCTCTTCTCTCTTGTCTCGGAGAGCACGGTGTTCTTGGTAGCCTTCAGGTAGAACTTCTTGGTCTTCACAGGCGTTGCTCTGACACAAAGGCTGAAACAGTGAAAACTCTGAGGCAATAAATGCTACAGATACATACAAACAATCGCTTAAGTAAGCAAGGCTGAACGATTTGAAGTCTTGCTTCGCAAAACAGATTAAGACACACAAGAAAGGCAACACTAATCACTCGGACTTGCTGGTTGCTCTGAGCTAGAGGTCGCTTTCTCAAGACAGCTCAGCAAACCTACTTGCACAACGCTGTCGGTTCTTATGCCTACCCCTCACCAGCAAACGGGGTAGGTGTTAGACTTTTTTCTTTAGAGGGCTTTAGCATCAGCACAAGGAAAGGACCTTACTTCGTGTAGATCGTGATGACGTCCTTGGGAACGATAAAAACATTCAATGCCTTCTCCAGCCCCTTGCCTTTTCCGATCGCGGTGTTCGGCTTCGTGGTAATCTCAATGTCGCCTTTGAAGAGCTTGACCTTTCAATGCTCACTCTTCGGCTTGACACTGAACCCTGAGCCACACTCGTCACGAAGAGAAGCGACCGTCAGCGACCCCTTCACCATAATCTCCTTCGTCTTCTCACCGAAGGACACCGTAATCGTGTAGTCTCCATCATCGTCGTCCTTCTTGTCGGCATTTCCACTGATGGTGTCGTTCAGGTATGTCAAATTCAGCAGCTGATGCGCAACTTGCGCTTTTGGGGTCTTCTTCTAGGGTTTATAGGGTTTAGGGTTTAGGGTTTAGGATTTAGGATTTAGGGTTTAGGATTTAGGGTTTAGGGTTTAGGGTTGAGGGCTTAAGGGTTAGGGTTTAAGGTTTAGGGTTTACGGTTTAGGGTTCAGGGTTCAGGGTTCAGGGTTCAGGGTTTAGGGTTTCGGGTTTAGGGTTTAGGGTTTAGGGTTTAGGGTTTAGGGTTCAGGGTTCAGGGTTTAGGGTTTAGGGTTTAGGGTGTGTTTGGTATTAGACTGAACACAATCCGAAACGACTTCGAAGCACCCGGAACATGTTTCGAACTCGCCCACCTCCCCCCAACCCCCTCACCCCCCCCACCCCCCCCTTCTCGCCCCCACCCCCCTCACTTTCCCCACTCCCCCCAACTCGCTTGGCGCTGTTTGATCTCGCAGAAGAGGCACCCGACTGTCTTGTTACATGTGAGAGGCAGGGGAATCACAGGTTGCAAGTGTACAATTTGCCCACGGCACGTTATTTGTTTATCAGTTGGGCCATATTCTCATATTCTCACCCACCCCGCCCCCCACCCACCCTTCCACACCACCACCAGCCTATATAAGCCCTCTGCAAATAAGACATGGCCTTGGAGATGTCCTCGTTTGCACAGGAGCGGCACTTGCAACATGTCCCGAATGGCAGAAAGTCGAGGTTCGCCACGGGTTTTGGGTTTGAGGATTCAAAGATCATCGGTTTTCCGGGCGTCCCCACTTTTCGGGCGCTTACGCATTCGGGCTTGCTGGTTTTGAGGCGGTCGAGGGCTTCCAAGAGCTCGGAAGACGATCGATGCAGGTTAGGGAGATTCCAGTACTCGCTGGTTCGGGGAATGGCGGCTCTGGAGGTTGGAGCTCGTTTTGTTTCGGCTATTTTGATTTTGTTCAACTGTTTAGGCCTTGAGGATTCGGGATGTAGCGAGAAGACGCGATACCAGAGTTCAAGGGTCAGGGCCGGCTGGGGTCTCAGCTCTCAACCTGAAAATAGGCCCACAGCCCATTCACTAAAACCTGCGAGCCACCAAAACCTATCATGAGCATCTGGTCACTTCTCCAAACTCTGGTCCCCATTTTGGGGGTCCTTAGTCTAAGGCGGCCCCTGTCATTTAGGGTTCAGGGTTCAGGGTTTAGGGTTTAGGGTTTAGGGTTTAGGGGTTTAGGGTTTAGGGTTTAGGGTTTAGGGTCTAGGGTATAGGGTTACTGAACATCTGAACTTCACCCATGGGCCTGAGCTCCAGCACGCGGCCTTGGGCTGGTTGATTGGAGAGCCGGAACCCCTAGGGTTTAGGGTTTAGGGTTTAGGGTTCAGGGTTCAGGGTTCAGGGTTCAGGGTTCAGGGTTTAGGGTTTAGGGTTTCGGGTTTAGGGTTTAGGGTTTAGGGTTTAGGGTTTAGGGTTTAGGGTTTAGGGTTTAGGGTTCATAAGGGTCTTGCTTCTTCAAGAAGGCTGAGGCTTGCCTGTTCTGCCCCCAAGGACCCTTTTCGCACGCGGCACACGCTGCAAGAATGTTCTGTCAGTCCTTCATGAACGCTCAAGAAGTGTACATGGCCCAAGCCCGAAAGCTTCACGCAACATCATGCAGGCAATGTTGGCTTCCATTGGGATCTCAGGGTGACCGCATTGCAAGGCTTCGTTTTGTGTGAGTGTGTTCGATTGCACCTTGTGAAGGTTCGAAAGCTTCATCCCCAAGGAAGCCTGCTAGGCTCAGGGTAGCCTTGAGCTCGTAACTAGAACTCAGCCTTCTGCAAGCAACCCCAGTGAGGGAACCCCCCCCCACAGCCTGACAGGATCCTCAAACGGTTTCAGCAAGCAGCGCGCCAGGGACGCGGCATCTCGTCGGACGTGCTCCGTGATCTATGCCCGGGCGGCTGAGCCTATGTTTTCGCTGAGCCATGGGGACCGCCATGTGCTCTGTTATGCAGCCCCCTAGTCTTGGGACCACTTGTGTGTCCTGAATGTCTATTTGCGAGGCCGAGGATGCTACTGGCAGAGGATTTTGTCATGCTCAGGGTAGATCTCTAAACGGTGCCTCGGTGTCACGTATCCTCCCGAGTTTCTGAGCACCTCGACTTGCGAAACTTTAAGGAGGGAACCCGACAAGTTAACGGATCTTCTTAACACGGAGTCTTTAGCAGTCCCATCAATCTGACAGTGCAGTCGTGCAGCCTGGAACCTGGCTTGCCCCCGGCTCTGCGCGGCTCTGAAGTCAGCAACCCTGGCCCAAAGCCTCTGGCTCCTCTTGTAGTACAGCTAGAATAGGCTTTTGAGGGGGTTCTTATAGTATAATTCTAGAGGGGACCCAAAGGGAATACCATTAGTATGTAGTCCGACCCCTATAGTCGTTGAATTCTTCCATCTTGCAACGAAGAGGCATCCATAAGCGCGGCTGGGCTTGGAGCCTGCAATGGAAAGCTGATCAAGCTTCCTATTGTGTCATCACAAGACGGGCTTCTCGTGGAGTTGTCTGCTGAAACGGCTTCTAGCAGCCAGCAACCGCAGGGTAAACCCTAAACCCTAAACCATAAACCCAAAAACCCAAAAACACAAAAAACCAAAAAACCAAAAACCCTAAAACCCTAAAACCCTAAAACCCTAAAACCCTAAAACCCTAAAACCCTAAAACCCTAAAAACCTAAACACCCTAAACCCATGCCATTTTTTTGTGACAAAAGAAGGCACCACAGCCCAGAGCGGCCTTCCTTGCCATGGCCTCTGCCGGGGGTGACGGCATGGGCTCCCATGGGATGGCATAGCTGGGCACCTGGGCACGGAGTTTCGGAGACTCTTCCCCCCCCGAGTTTAGGGTTTAGGGTTTAGGGTTTAGGGTTGAGGGTTGAGTTGAGGGTTGAGGGTTGAGGGTTGAGGGTTGAGGGTTGAGGGTTGAGGGTTGAGGGTTGAGGGTTGAGGGTTGAGGGTTGAGGGTTGAGGGTTGAGGGTTGAGGGTTGAGGGTTTAGGGTTTAGGGTTTAGTGATAAACCCAACTTTCTGCAAGGCGTCGACGAGATCCGCCCGCAGGCTTTTGGTCAGAGGAAAACGTGCGCGAGGTCGTGCACAGCAGGCGGGGGCCCCGAGGGTCTTCTTTCGGTTGGGGTCCGGTTTCGTTCTCTTTGTTTTGTCATTGGTAGCGGAGCCTAGGCCGCGGTCCTGGGCTAGGCTGGTGGTTCGTTGGTTTGTTTGTCTTGTCTTCCCTTGTTTGTTCTCGTCTTGTTTCGTGGTGGGAGGTGTAGGCAAAGCCTGTGTGCAAGGCTTCGGATGGCCATGTGCCTACTGCCGGGCAAGACAGTGCAGCACCAGATCAGCATGCACCCTCTCTTGACACGAATGTGCCTGCGGCAGATCCTAGTCCTCACATGACCGTTGACGGGCGTCAGGGTGATCCTTGGCGTCATGATGATCCTTGGCGAACTTGGGATCGCTCGCATGGGGCCTGGGGACAGTCTACTTGGCGTAGCGCTGGGTGGTGGACTGGAGATGGCTACTATGGCGGGCGGCAGTGGTGGTATGATGCCTGGGATGATAGGGATGGTGCTAGGCGTCCAAGTGGGGGTCAAGATTCCGGCCATTTTGGCAGGAACAATCAACGTGATGCAACAGATCCGTGGGCCCACTACCAAGGTCCTCCTGAGGGACAGGCCGGTCGTCCTGATGACCAGGCCTCCGATGGCTCGGGCAGAGGCTCGGGTGAATCTCGTGGGAGTGGTGCCAGCGAGGCACAATCGCCAGGTAGTGGTGGCCGATGTGACTACGGAGACCGAGATGCACAGGGCCCAGATAACAATCGTGTTCCTGGTCCTGACAGAGAGCGGAGAGGGAGCCTTGGGGAAACCACTTCCGGGACCCCCGGTCCCTACTACGACCTCGAAAGAAGGCCAGGACTTCAAAGGTGGCCTGAGTGAGCGGATGGCTGTGCCGAGCTTTTCGGCAGACAAGACGGGGGATGAGCTTGGCAGCTCAGCCCGCTCGTACCTGAGGCAGATCGATGCCTGGTGCAAGGTGACGAGAACTCCGGCGTCGCAAAGAGCCCTCTTGCTTTACCAGAATCTTAGCGGAAGAGCGTGGGTGGAGTCTGAAGAGCTCAGTGTCGAGTTGTTGGCCTCCGAGTACGGCGTGCAGGAGTTTAAGAGATGGATCCAGGAAAGATACCAGGAGATCGAGGTGTCGAAGATAGCCGAGGCCTTGACTCAGTTCTTCAAGAAGCTGAGACGTGAAGGAGGTCAGAGTATCCGTGAGTTCAACTCAGCATTCGACCGTGGCCACACCCGCTTATTGGAGATCGACTGTCGCCTCCCTGAAGTCGCAAAGGCCTGGGCGTACTTGAATGCCCTCGGCCTCACGAGTGCAGAGGAACTTGCCCTCCTTGCTTCCGTGGGCAATGAGTACAATACGGCAAAGTTGCAGAAGGCAGCAGTCCTCCACGAGAAGTCCTTTAAGCCCCCGTGGTTCGTGAGGCGCAACGGCAACGGCAATCCTGATGGGGGCAAAGGAAAACCTGTGCGAGGTGCCTTCTTGACCGAGATTGACGAGGACGACATTGCCGAGGAGGAGACAGAGCACCTGATGACCGAGGAAGAGGCCTCTGAGATGCACGAGGCGTTCATGGCTCAGGAGTCAGCCAAGGCCCGGTACAGGGAGATCACGAAGGCTCGGGGAGTGGATCCTAGTTTTCTTCGCAAGGATGGTTCCAGGAACGAAGCCAGCAACAAGGATACTCCTGAGGCCAGGTTGCAGCTTGCCAAAAGTCGCTCGTATTGTGCTGGATGCCGCCGCAGGGGGCACTGGCACAAAGACCCAGAGTGCCCAATGAATCAGCCTGGAGGCCAGGTGACGAAGCCTGGTGGTTCCTCGGGCGCCAAGGACAGCTCCAAGGAGGCGTTTGTGGTGCAGGTTGCCTATGAGGTCGGCTACATGGGTGGTCAGGGCTTGGTCGCCATCACCGACTCCGCACGCAGTAAATCTGTGGCGGGACAGGCGTGGCTCCAGAAGTACATGTTGGCTGGCCGGGAAGCGGGCCTTGAGATGCAGTTCATCGACACCCAGGACGACTTCAGGTTCGGGGCCTCCAAGCTTTTCCGGGCTACCTTCACTGCCACGATTGCGATCTTCGTTGGTGGACGCGGCTTCTTGGTCAGGGCTTCCATCGTCCAGGGAGAGGTCCCCCTTCTCCTGTCAAGAAACGTCCTGAGCAAGATTGGCATGCTTTGTGATGTTGAAGGACACAGCGCCTCGTTTCGTCACCTTGGAGTACAAGATCTCAAGCTCCTCACGACGGAAAATGGACATCCGGCTATTCCCGTACGAGTGAAAGGGCTCCCGACGTTTGCTCTCCCAACGCCCCAGGAGTGGGCCGGGGACGAAGTGCGACTCCTTCCTTCCAGCGAGTCTCATGCCGCATACATGACCATGACATGTGAGAGTAGTGAGAGGGCCTCTGCATCAACCTTTGCTACTTCCAGGAGCTGTGAGTCAGCATGTGTTGCCGATGGAGGTGCCGATCGGAACCTCTCCCAGCCCTTCGAGACTATCTTTTATCCGAAGAAGTTATCGCCCTTTGTCTTCAACTTCTTGAGTGCCGAGGCTTTGAACACTGATGTTTTCATGCGTTGGTGGAGTGAGACCAAGCTTGCAAAGGACTTCTGGATAGAAACGGCTTCTTCTTTCATACGAATACACGTCATTCCCCGGAAAGCACTGTTCTCCCCCGATGCATGGCACACAAGTCAGAGCAACGTTCGAGATAAACTCCTCCACAACGTCGGGTCGTTCCGAAGCACCACTGCTATAGCATGTCAGTCCTTGCAACTCCTTCCGAGTCGACATGACGCATGGCAGAGTTCACCCGAGTCAGCCCATTCAGCTCTTTGGGTCGGTAGGACTGTGTTCCCTCGTACCCCTTTTCAGAGCAGCAGTTCGGAACATGTCGTCGCAGAAGGCCAAGACGCTCTGGAACATGAGCCGGAGCGAGTTGGTAGAAGAAGCTCATCGGCTGGAAGTGCCGATACACACTACATGGGGCAAGGAAGAGATACGTCAGCTGGTGTCAGAGAAGAGAAAGGAACTACATGGTCCATCCAGCGTCCCGAGAGGTCTCTCTTCAATGACGATGCCCGAGCTAGTCAAGAAGATGGACGAGCTGCAGATCCCGCTTCCACCGAAGCCCACCCGAGGACTCCTTCAGAGGATCATACGAGACTCGACAAGAGATCTGTCGGAACAGATCGTGACGTTCGGGAGGTACAAGAACTTGCTCTTCAGAGAACTCCCACATTCGTATCTTCGCTGGAGTCTTCAGGAGACAGCAGCGCAGGGATCGGGGGCGTCCCACGAGTTGAGGCAGCTAGCCAACTTTGCCCAGAAGGTCCTCAATCCTCAGAAGGAGACGTACCACGACCCAGAGATGAGTGCTGCAATCCCTTACCAACCGGATCCAGAGGAGACGAGTTCGACCTCAACGAAGTGGTCTTTGGTGACGGGGACTTCGGAGGCCATGGCAAGCGGGTACAATCAGGGCAAGAACCATGTCCCGACAGCGAAGCAGATGGGAGCCAAGCGCGGCATCGAATCCGAGGAGAGCAAGATGGCCCAGGACACTCCCCCGGAGGTACGAGAGGAACTCGAGGCACTAACCACCAGGATCGCCCTACTCAAGGAGAAGCATGGAATGTGATTCTCTCGTGTGATGTTGACCTCGACAACGACGCTAGTGCCGAAGGGGTCCTAGATGTGTGCGGTATGGAGGCCAATGCTACCGGGGCCCTTGAAACCTTCTATGAGTGTCGAGAGTCCAGTGCCGAAGAGCTACCTCTTGAAGTCGTTGCACAAGACCTTTTGCGCACCAAGGATTACAGCTTCGAGAGTTGTGAAAAACTGGCCCGCCGAGTGTGTGAACATGCTAGGAACAGTAGACGAAGGCAAGCTCATGGGGAACAGGGGAGCTCGATTGCTTTTGGGGCCTATAGTCATGGTAACTTCCACGGCATCATTAAGAAGACCTTCGACCATGTCCATGTTGTGCGCTACATGAATGCTTTCTTGCGGGCACATGGGGCCAAGGGTACCTGGAGTTCCCTCCAGATCAATGTGAACTGTCGTCCTCTTGTACATCGTGATCAGCACAACCATAGCGACACCCTTGCAAGCACCATCTCCTTCGGAAATTTCCGCGGCGGTCGTCTGTGGATAGAAACGGATCCTGAAGCCCAGGTGCCAGAGATCGGTGTCCCCCACATTATGTCAGATGGCGAAGGGCGTGCTCTTTCAGGACACCTTGTCGACACACGTGCGCTCGTGAAGTTCGATGGTCGTCGTAAACATGGCGTAGAAGAGTGGGAAGGGGATCGTATCAGCATTACTGCTTACACAACACGTGGGGTGTCGCAACTGGCACGACAAGAACGGGACATGCTGAGAAGTTTTGGTTTCCCCGTTGGGCAGGATACCCCCACGAAGATCACCGTTGAGGACAAATCCTGGAAAAACGAACACGCCCGGCGACCCAAGAAGAGCATCAGAAGACAGATCATGCGAGGGGCTAGCCGAGCAAGTGCACTGTTGACTTTAAGTATGACGGCAGCTTCGAGTTACGTCGCCGAGGTAATGCTTCCGAGTTCATCCCCAGACAGACCATCAATCCTGGAAATTGGAGATTTCGCTGCTACCTACACCCTTGCAGGAAACGGCAGCTCAGTCATAGAACCGGTCTCGTGGGAGGATTTTGTCAACGATTCAGATTGTCAGAGAGTTCTCGAAACCATACATGCCCTACACCCATGTGTTGTCTGGATTCGAGGTCACGACGAGATCACCGATGCCAAGTCCAACGAAATCGCATCCCAGGTCTTCTCCGCTGCGTTGAATCAGATCCTCTTGGGGGGTATATTCGTTCTCAGCGGTAACAAAGAACACATGCTGTGGAGAGACCATGCCTTCAACAGCTTGCTTAACATGTATGAGACCCAGTTAGATGTCGACGCTCAAGGCTTTCAAGTGCTTCGTGTTGCGCAACCTGGAGTTCTGCAGCAAGGGCCTCATTCGGTATATGTCGGAGAGATCGAACAGCAGGATCCCGAAGGCGAACAACCCCAAGCTGTACCTCCTGAAAGACTAGATGCCGCAAGGACTAGTAACATCAAGTTTGACGCTCAGGTCCCCAAGCCCGTTCAGGCTTCCCTTGGTCGACTTCATCAGAACCTCGGCCACCCAAGCAACCATGACCTAGCGAGACATTTGAGACTTGCTGGAGCTGAAGAACATGTCATACAAGCATGCAAACATCTGCGTTGTCAGGTTTGTGATCGTGCTAAGCAATCAGCTTCAGCGAGGCCTGCGTGTTTGCCATCTTTGTTGGATTTCAACCAGCTCGTGAGCGTCGATGTTTTCACAGTTTTCGATGCAGCCCAGGTGAAACATTCGTTGCTGTCCGTCATAGACCATGCTACAACGTTCCATCTTGTCGGAGAGCTTGAAGGGCATTCTGCCGAAGCCTTTGAGCGGAAGTTCACTCAGATGTGGGGATCTGTTTTTGGGGCACCAGGAACAATTGCTGCAGTCTACAGGCCGGGCTGGCGAACTATGCTGAATTCCATGGATGCCGGCTTCGCCCCGCTGCAGGCCAGGCCCATTGGCAGCAAGGACTCATAGAGCGTCATGGGCTCTGGTATCAGGCCATGCTCAGAAAAGTCATAGATGAGAAGTCCATCGACGCTAGCGACCTTTACTATGCCTTGCAAGCAGTGAACTCAGCTAAGAACGAGCTGCGCCGGAGACATGGTTTCTCACCAACCCAAGCTGTGTTCGGAAAAGATCCCAAAATCCCAGGAGAACTGTGCGCTGGCGATGACGAAGAACGATATCTGGAAATACTTTCACATGATCGCCAACGACAACGGGAGATGCATATTCGTGCCTCGGCCAGGATCGCCTTTTACAGAACACAACTTGATTCGAAGCTTCGTCGTGCACTTATCCAGCGGGCTCGAGTTAAGCGTGGAGGGTACTGCGTCGGGGAGTTGGTGTGCTTTTTCAGAGTTGACAAAGGAGGGACAAAGTCCAACTTCAAACGAGGTAAGTGGCGGGGGCCCGGAACGATCATTGGACATGAAGGTGGTAACTGGTGGGTTTCTTTTGGTGGGCGGTGTCATCTTGTTGCTGAAGAACATCTCCGTCCTAGCACTTCTGAAGAGCTTGGAGAAATCCTAACCACCAGGATTGCCCGCGATGATCTTGAACGACTTCTTAACCTAGATCCCGATGACCCCGCTACGTATGAAGATGAAGATCATGCTGACGACATTGACGCAGACGAAGGACAAGAACAACTTGAGGGTGATGAAATGGATTTTCAGTTCGATCTCGAACCCGAGGATTTGAAAGATGAACTCACTGCAGAAGATAGGCCTACCAGCGAGCGACGAGGACTCGAAGCTCCTGTACCTCCTCCTGTCCCCAAGAGAGTTAGGAAGAAAGGGCCTGGAGTCCAGTCGGTTCACATGTTAAAACAATGCCGTACAGCCAGGTCCCTCGAAAAACAGTACGAGAAGGAGATCCCCTGGGCAGTAATCCCACCAGAACAACATAGCGCCTTCCGACAAGCAGAGGAGAAACAGTACGACGAACACATCAAGTATCAGGCCCTGGAGCCTTTGTCGCTCGAAGAAAGTGCTCGTGTTCGTGAGTGTGTGGACAAAAGTCGTATCCTCTCTTCAAGGTTTGCCTACAAAGACAAGAACTGGTCCCGGCGGAAGCTTGATTCTAGTCTTCCTTGGAAACCGAAGGCGCGATCCAGATATCGGTCTCCTAGACACCGACGCGCCTACCATCAACAGACTATCGGTGCTCACCATCTTGCAGCTTGTAGCAAGTCGGAGGCAATCTCATGGGTGGGAGGCATCAGCAGGTGACATTACTGCAGCTTTTCTCAACGGAGATGCTCTGGAAAGGGTCTTGTATCTCAGACAGCCCCGTTCAGGTCTTGCTTCTCTACATCCAGACCAACTGCTACGAATCACCAAAGGTATCTTTGGCCTTCCTGACAGTCCTCGCAAATGGTGGAGGCGCTTCCGAAAGGACATGTTAGCAGTGCGGCTAAGTGTAGAGGGCGTTGAGTACAAGTTTGTGCAGAATGCGCTTGACCCTTGCCTTTTTCAGCTTGTTCCATCCGATAATGAAGCTAGCGAACCGGCAGCGTATGCCGGAGTACATGTCGATGACATCCTGGTTGCTGGCGACAAGAAGATGTCCGAAGCTATTCGCAATGCCCTCTCGAGCATCTTCCCAGTCGACGACTGGGAGATCAACAGCTTCGACTACATTGGAAGCCACATCGAGGTGAATGACTCAGGTGTCTTCATCAGTCAAGAGGCGTATGCTGGAGGGCGACTGTTCCAAATCGACATCGGCAAGGGGCAGGAAGATGAAGAGCCTGCTTCTGAAGAACAACGAATCGACAACCAGTCTCTCATCGGCGCCCTTTCCTGGCTTGGATCCCAGAGTCGTCCTGATATTCAATGCTCAGTTTCGCTTGCACAACAACTCCAAAAGAACCCAAGCGTTGCTGACCTGAAGTTCACCAACCAGATAGCGCGACGAGCGTGGGATCATCGAGACAAAGGGATTTGGCTACGACCTTTGAAACTTGAGAGCCTAGAGTTTTTAGTGTACCACGACTCGGCATGGGCGAATGCAGAGCTCACGGGTGAGGATGGTTTCCGCCTCGAGTACGAGGACCATGTCAGCGGCGTCATGAAGAATACACCTTTTGACATCAAAGAAAGAAAGGCCAAACGGGCGAATTCCAAGGTCGCCAGCCAGTTCGGAATCCTCATCTTCTTGACCGATGGAGAGCAGTACTCAGCTGGAGGAGGCATAGGAAGCATCCTTGACTGGAAGAGTTCGGCAAACCCTAGGGTGTGTCGCTCAACGTTCGGGGCTGAAACCACAGGCTGTTCCGAGGCCATCGAGATGGGGCAGTATGTGAGATCCTTTGTGCAAACAGTGCTGCGCGGCCGCCTCCAACGTGTACAGGACTTGAGCGGCAGTCAGCTGAAGTGCATCACGGATTGCAAATCACTATTCGACCATTTGCATCGAGAAGGCATCCCAAGGATCCCTTCAGACAAACGTCTAGCCATAGATCTCGCTGCGTTGAGGCAATATCTGTGTGAAGAGCAAGCCAATGGCAAACCTCCACTCTTTTGGGTCCCCACCGAGTTCCAACTTGCTGATATCCTTACCAAACCTAAGTGTGCTGATTCATGGTGGGCGACCGTGTGGGGAGCAGTGAGACTTCCATTTATTTCCAAGGATGCGACGAAGCATCGTTGAAGGGGGGAAGAGAATTTTTAAGCAGTGATAAACCCAACTTTCTGCAAGGCGTCGACGAGATCCGCCCGCAGGCTTTTGGTCAGAGGAAAACGTGCGCGAGGTCGTGCACAGCAGGCGGGGGCCCCGAGGGTCTTCTTTCGGTTGGGGTCCGGTTTCGTTCTCTTTGTTTTGTCATTTAGGGTTTAGGGTTTAGGGTTTAGGGTTTAGGGTTTAGGGTTTAGGGTTTAGGGTTTAGGGTTTAGGGTTTAGGGTTTAGGGTTTTTTAGGCCCCCCCCCCCCCCCCAGTAACGGGTTTAGTAGGGTTTTGGGTTTAGGGTTTCGGGTTCAGGGTTTACGGTTCCGGAGACAATCGTAGTACCCCCCCCCCCCACCCACCAAGGGGAAAGTTTAGCTGCTTGATCATTCTTTGTCCTCAGGATTTAGGGCACAGGGGTTCTCAGAAAGAGGATTGATAAAGATGTTCCGACTACGCTCTGGACTTGGATCGGATCCTGCTTTCGCAGCTTAACAACAGTTGGGAAGAAGTGAAGAGTGTTGAGTGTGGTGTTCGGCCCTCGTCTACCGCACACAGAGGAAGACAAGTACGGTCGGAATGGTCATGCGTTCTATACGCATCTATAAACCCTGAAACTAATGCCTGTACTCAGTCTTGCTCGCGACCCATCTCACATATTCTGGCACATCCCTACGTTGCCAGCAATAGAACCACTTTGGCTTCCTGGCCCCTCTCATTTGCCTAGCTTCCCGAGAACTTGGACGTCTTTCTCGAGGCTCCGAGGCTTCGGCTGGCTGCCGCTGCTTCCTTAGGGGATCACTGCGTCACTGCGTGCCACCGGAGCGCTTCTGTCACATCCTGGGTTTGTTCACACCTGAGGTCCTGTCAAAAAGCTGGCTCTCATGTTAAGCCCTTCGCCCTCCCCGACCCAGTTTGCATGGGCAAGAAGCTCGAAACTTGAGTACCGAGTCGGAAATCTGGAAGCCTACAGTACCTCTTGAAACTGGTATAAAACCCAACCTTCAACATGCTACGCGCGCAACAAAAGGTCGAAGCCCCGCAAACCCTGGACCACAGTTCAGAGGGTTACCATGTGTCAGAACAGGGCCTTTGAAGGTGCCCAGGGGGTAGGATCCAGAGATGACAAGAGGGCCATGTAGGTGGTAAACATGTATGCTTGCACTGGACGCTTGTCAGTGTCAGCTGAAGTGGGATGCCCTTGCATCACAGTAACAATGGAGCCACATTGTGCTCTGAAATCTGGAACAGTTCTTTAAGTCCGGTCCCCCCCCCTTCACCCGCAGTGCAACGACTAAACTCACCTTCACCCCACATCCGACTCGGAACTATCGACGTCCAGTAAGTTCCAGACCGTGCCGGCGGCGGAGCCTCACTGTCCAACTCCCCACATGCCAACAAAAGATGGGGCTTGGCTTGGGTGTTTTAGGCAATGCTCCCTTCATCCTGAAGCCTGGAACTAGGGTTTAGGGTTTAGGGTTTAGGTTTAGGGTTTAGGGTTTAGGGTTTAGGGTTTAGGGTTTAAAGGTAAAGGGTTTAGGGTTTAGGGTTTAGGGTTGAGGGCTTAAGGTTTAGGGTTTAAGGTTTAGGGTTCAGGGTTTAGGGTTTAGGGTTTAGGGTTTAGGGTTTTAGGGTTTTAGGGTTTTAGGGTTTAGGGACAAATGACAATAGTAGATTTAGTACACTATAGATCAGTATAGTACTCTAATCCAACAAGGCAAAAGCTCCAGACTCACGGGCAACGGAAGGTCCCTCGATTTCACTTGGACATATGACCGTGTCTGTTCAGGCCTTCCCTAGTCAAGACTGCTGACGGATCTTCAGTCCCGGGCTATTAAATTACTCTCAGAACTTTCAGGTCGGGTATCTCCACCAGGGTAGCTTCCTAAATTAGGGTTCCATTTGGGCCCCCATTGTCAGGTGGCACCCTTTAAAGGGGATCCCAAAAAGGGACCCTAATTTAGAGAACTACCCGAGAGGGCTCTTGATGTTGGCGGCGGGTTTGTCCGGAATGTTGGGCTCGGTACGGCAACGTTCAGCATGTTCGAACTGGGAGGAGAGGGGACACACGGGAGGGGGACGGAAGGCGGGGAGGGGGGGGGGGGGGATGGGGGGATGCTTCTGAAAGTGCATCAGAATGCAAGGCATAGCCTGGTATAAATAAAAACTTCAGGCGTTCTTGTGGAACGTGCCTTGCGGGATCGGGTTGTCAGTATGCCAGTTGTTGCTGGAGGCAGCCGTTTCCAAAGCACTTTAAGCTTTGCACCCCGAGCTCCTCAACCCCTGGACCCTAAACCCCAAACCCTGATTAAACCCTTGCCCTTAAGCCCTAAACCCGACAACCCTAATAAACCCTAAACCCTAAAACCCTAAAACCGTAAAACCCTAAAACCCAAAACCCCAAAAACCCAAAAACCCTAAAACCCTAAAACCCTAAAACCCTAAACCCGACAACCCTAAACCCTAAACCCTAAAACCCTAAAACCCTAAACCCTCTCCTGGCCTGGGTGGGTGACCCCCATGGATCCGCAGACGGCGCGGGTGGCCAGGAGCTCCCTGAATATTTTAAAGAGGTGCTTTTCTTTCTGGCCTTGGGGGCTGGGGGGGGGGGGGGAGTGGGGATGGATTATAGTAGGGGATACAGTGAATTGAGAGAGCTAAGCAGCAGTCTGGGAAATTTAATGGATGGTTGGAGGTTGGGTTCTGGAGCTGTTGAAGTCTGCCGTGAGAATTTGGGGTCCAGGCTTGTAGATGCAGATTTTCTGATCCCTTGTTCTGGGGCGCAGGAAGCTTAAGACTTAAAATCGGAGCCCTGGGGGACTCAAGCTGCCGCGCGCTTGCGAGCAGCAATCCTGAAGCGCGAGTTCGAAAGAGGCCGAACAGAGCCACTGAACTGGCACCTGGTATCGAGATGACAGTAGGACAGTAGGGCTCGAGCTCTGACTCGAACACCCTAAACCCTCAGCTCTGAACCCTAAACCCAGGCCCTGATCAACTTGGGGCGCAAGCTGAAACAAGCTGTGAGGCCTTCGACCACGGTATCCAGATATAAAGTCGGCATTAAAGACTTTCATTTCTTGGCTGCCCTAAACCCTAAACCCTAAACCTTAACCCTAAACCTGAAACCTAAACCCGAAACCCAGCCTCCAGCTGCACCGGCCTCTGGCCAGGTGAGCGAAGGCTGGGATGGTGGTGCTGAAGGCCTTGGCCACAATAGCCCCTGGTTCTTTGGGTTAGGGTTTAGGGCTTAGGGTTTCGGGTTTAGGGTTTGGGGTTTAGGGTTTAGGGTTTAGGATTTAGGGTTTAGGGTTCAGGGTTTAGGGCTTGAGGGGAGTGAGGAGTCCTATATTATACCCTTTAAGGGTCTCTATAGGGTACCTCATTCCCTCATTCCCTCCTAAGAACCGGCCAGAATAGAATGCGCCAGGAAGTGCGGTTTACACGGTTTGTAGATCAAAGGTTGGGATGTTTCCCCATATACGAGCAGTCCTTCATAGGGAGTATAGTACCCCACATTCTAGCCCCTATTAATGAGGACTGCTAGTATAAGGGGGAACATCCCAAATCAAAGGGTTCACAACAGCAGGAAAAAGACATAAACGCAGCGAGACTCATGCCACGCCCATCGTACATCACCCCACTGTCACAAACCATCGCAAGGAAAGAGCCGCAGACATGTTTGGATGCTTGGGTTCCTAAAACCTGTCTAACCCCAGCTCAAAGTCACTCCATCAAACCCTGAGATGGAGAATGAGACTGCACATTGCACAGGGGGCACGCTTTAACTTCTTGCTGTGCGCCTGGTGCCTTGCAACGGCGTTGGGCTGGAAAGAAATGAAGGCTTTAGGAACTTCAGGTTCAAGGTCTCCTGAAATGTCCTGATATCTAAACCTGCGTTTCGGCTGCAAGCTGAAGCTAAAACATTTGTCGCAATGTGTCGATTCGACCCTCTCGGAGCCCGCGCCAATCCGCCGATGGCCACTTGTCCGGTAGGGCAAGTGCCTGGAAGTGTTCAGGTTTGAGGGTCTCGGGTCAGGGTTTAGGGTTTATAAGGGTTAAGGGTTTAGGGTTTGGGGTTTAGGGTTAAGGGTTTAGGGTTTAGGGTTTAGGGTTTAGGGTTTAGGGTTTAGGGTTTAGGGTTTGGGGTTCAGGGTTTAGGGTTTAGGGTTTAGGGTTTAGGGTTTAGGGTTTAGGGTTTAGGGTTCAGGGTTCAGGGTTCAGGGTTTAGGGTTTAGGGTTTAGGGTTTAGGGTTTAGGGTTTAGGGTTTATAAAGGTTTAGGGGCCTTCCTCTTCAGGACTTCCCAAGGATTCCAAAGCTCAGGGAGCCGCGCGCTCAAGATGGCCCGGGCTCACAAGGTTCAACTTTTGAGCCGGTGCTTGGGGTGTGCTGCGTGCTTGGTTTTAGGGGGTTTGGGGCTGTTTAGGGAAAGAATGGCAGCTGGTGCCCTAGCCTGTATAGGACAAGAAGAAGCTTTTGGCAATTTAGCAAAGCCGCCAGCAGATCCAGTAAGGCTTTAGAGAGTCTATTGGGGTGAGGCGCAGGGTACACCCCTCAGCGCCCACGGTGCTTGGCATGCAACAACCATGCGGGAAAATCCCAGTGATCGGGCTCAGGTGGTTTCCAATCAGCATGACTAAGCTCTCGACGAACAAGATCACGCGGATCATGTGTACAGGGCCTCTGAAACCCTTTCAAACTGCAATCCACGTTTAAGCCCGACGGCGCCCTAAAAACCCTCAAAAAAGGCCTGGGCTTTGTTGGCTGGCGAGTCCGAGGTCTCACCTCGGGGGAGTTTTCGTCGGAGGGGGGGGGGGGGGGGGGGAGATTCGCCTTTTCTTTTGAGGAGACGCTATAAGCCTCTAAGCATTGTAAGGCTTGAGAGAGCTGTTGCTTGTTCACCTCAGATATTTCAGGATTCCACAGGCTTGGGTTTGGGTTTGGGTTTGGGTTTGGGTTTGGGTTCGGGCTTGGGTTTCATGGGACCTTTCTCCAACCCCGCCTCTGTCCTTGGTCCTCCCCGGTTAAATGATGAGAGGACATCTGCCACGGCAACTTCCAACACATGCATCTTCAAGTCGCTGCATGCGTTGACACTCCGGCGCCCGCGGTTCTTCTTTGGGTTTTTTCAGAGCTAAGTACGACGGCATACACCAAAACACTGGCAGTTGTACTGAGCGGACTACGTTGAAGTCTGGTTGAGTTGGAGGCGTGGACAGATCAGGGGAATACCTTGCAAAATTCTTGTGGTGGAGTTGCTTGCGGAGGTCGCTGTCCAACCCAAGGCCCCCATGTTGCGTGCGGCCACTGTCCGAGACTGAATTGCATCCAACCCTAAACCAAAAACCCCAAACCCCAAACCCTAAACCCTATACCCTCAACGTGCAACCTTCAGCTGTGAAGGCGGCTTGACCCAGCGGAGTCGACCAAGTCTGGCCAGCAAGCAGCTCTGCGTTCGGGCTTAGGGTGGAAGCTTACAAAATTGAACCGGGTTTAGGGTTTAGGGTTTAGGGTTTAGGGTATAGGATATAGGGTTTAGGGTGCTCCTGTGTGCATCCCGAAGATCGATGAGTGCGGAACGAAGCTTTGTTCGAAACATATATGGTGTAGGAGCTGCAAGGAGTTAAGCTGGTGAAGCCGTTTACAGTAAGCTAGCTCCAAACCCAGGGGCTTCAGAAAGGATGCGAGGTGTTGCCGGCGTTGCTGTTTCGGAGAGATTCATGGTTGTTCGTGTCCCACCATAAAGGAGCCCTCTCCCTAAACGGAACCCTGCGCAGCACCCTAAACTCCCAACGGCCCATAAGACGCAAGCGCCCAAAACCTGACCCTATCAGCCCGCACACCCCTAAGCTAGTAGTGTAGTAACGATGGAGCAAGCGCGATGGCGTCACTGCTGTACTTTCCTCCAGCGCCGGTGGTGAAGCCCACGTCCTCCCCTCGCAACGTCTCGCAACGTGGCTTACGAGGTCTACGGTTTAAGAATTGTCTCTAGAGTCTATAGGTTCACAGGCTCAGGCCAAAGGCTCTTTGTTTCTGTGCTCAGATATGCTCAGGGTGGGCTCTGGATCAAGACGACAGGGCTAAGCAGCTACGCAATGCTACGCAGGTTCCTTAACGTCCCTCTCCAAGCTCAGGGAACCCTTCAAAACATGGCGGGGGATCATTGCGCATACGAGGCTAGGGCTAGAAAGCAAGACCCGTCGACCCTTTGTCGGCACGCGCCAGCTGTCGTCCCTCTGCTGTGTTGCTTGCATAGTCTGAGCTTTGCGGGTCATGGCCCCATACCCGAATTGTCTCGCCCGAAAGAACTTCTGGATCAGAAGGGAAGTAGTCTATGACAAGATACGTCTACTTGCGGACAACCCACTAGACATCCCAACTGGAGCAGTTGGCATTGTCCTGCCTCGCCCCATGAACATGCAAGAAAGAGAGCGAGAGAGAGAGAGAGAGAGAGAGAGAGAAAAAAAAAAGAGAGAGAGAGAGAGAACAAAAAAGAGAGAGAGAGGGAGCTAGTTCCATTCCTGAGGCTCCCACCTTCAACATCAAACCTCAACTGCTTTGGGCTCGGGTGTTGAGGTTTGGAGCGTGAGGCCACTCAATGGCGCGGCTTAGAGAACATGCAAAAACACTCTCGAAGGGATCCATTTAAATTCGGACTTTCGGTCTGCTGGACCGAAACACCCTGTGGGCATCCCACATAGCAAAACTTGGCCGGTCTGTCTCGGACAGGAAGCACGAGACTATTTCTGAGTCAGCATTTGAAAAGCTGCCGAGGGAGTGCATGCAGTGTCATCCACTCCGTCGACACCTAAGCCCTACAACCCCAAACCCCGAAACAACGAAGCCCCAAACCCTAAAACCCCAAACCCTAAACCCCAAAAAGCCCACCACCACTCCACGGGGGTGGGGGGGGGGGCATGGAAACTGGTTGAGGTTGCCTAAACTCAGGCCCAAGGCTGTTGCATAGTCACTCCACCAAGTTGTGTGAAAGTTGTTTGGCCAAGAATCGTGTGCTCTTTCCCAATAGCTGAAAAGGCAACACATACAAACCCCCCTTTGGCTTGGTGAGAAGAAAGCGTGATTGCCGTTGGCACGTTGACACGTCCGCAGGGGCAGGCTGCTCCCAAGAACCCGCCCCAAAAGTCAAGGCCATCAGCCCAAGCCGTTCCAGACGCCAAGCTTCCAAGTCCGAAATGTTGGGTGTAGACCACCCTAACCCTAAACCCTAAACCCTAAAACCACAACGACTCCACAAGCCCCACAAGACCAGCAAGTACGTTTTCGCGAAGCTGGGATTCCAGCGGTCGGGTTCTGCGCGGACTCTTTGAGCTCAAGGCGCCTCAAAGCTGAGGCTTCCTTGAGAAAAAGTTTCAAATAAAATCCAGAGGTTTAGGGTTTAAGGTTTACGGCTTAGGGTTTAGGGTTTAAGGTTTAGGGTTTAGGGTTTAGGGTTTAGGGTTTAAGGTTTAGGGTTTAGGGTTTAGGGTTTGACTAGAGAAAACTGAAACCCAAGAACCTGCCTCCCTATCTGCCCTCAAGCCTGGCCTCCAGAGCCTGGTCTGAATCTCTCCTGCACGCGACCCGCCGAACAGTTCAGTCCCTCAAACCCTTGAGGGTTCCCTAAACCCTAAACCCTAAGCCCTAAACCCCAAGCCCTAAACCCTAAGCCCTAAACCCTAAGCCCTAAACCCTTGAGGGTTGTTCGTGGTTGCGCGAACATGGCTTACAGCTTACAGGCGAGTTTGGTGCCTGTAGCCTCGGCACCCTAAGCCTTAAACCCTAAGCCCTAAGCCCTAAACCCTCAACCCACAGTCATGACCTCAAGACACCAGCGCCCAATCTATAGGATCCAGCAGTGCCAAACCCCTGATTCCTAAACCCTGATTCCTAAACCCTAAACCCTAAACCCTAAACCCCAAACCCTAAATCGCCTCCTTGGCTCCAGGGATCTCCTCCTGGAGGTTTCGGGTTTAGGATTGAGGGTGGTGGACTCCTTCTCAAGTAGACAATCATTTCGTTTTCCTCGAGCCTAAGACTAATTCGAGCTTCATGGCACAAGCAGGGTCGGGAAGAGTCGGGCAACTGTTTCAGGCCTTCACACGTGACCGTCCCGCAACAGCCTCACAGACCCTAAAACTCAGAACCCGGAAAAGAATATATAGGCTGAAACAAGATAAAGCCGCGGCAAACGACAGGGCAGACAGAGAAATTCGTTTATTCGTTTCTTCGTGCTTGCAGGACTGAGAGCTTCGCTTTCGGGGGGCAACCTCTGCACTTCCCCGGCAGCCAACCTCCCTAACAAAGTCCTCTTCAGGCATCCCAATACCCTAAACCCTAAACCCTAAACCCTAAACCCTAAACCCTAAACTCTAAACCCTAAACCCTAAACCCTAAACCCTAAACCCTAAACCCTAAACCCTAAACCCTAAACCCTAAACCCTAAACCCTAAACCCTAAACCCTAAACCCATTCTAAGCCTTCTAAGCCCCGAAACCGCTCCTCCGAAGCTCTGGGCCCGCTCTTTTCTTGGCTCCAGCTCGGCCTCCCAGAGTCGCCCCGAAGAGGTTTAGGGTTTAGGGTTTAGGGTTTAGGGTCTAGGGTTTAGGGTTTAGGGTTTAGGGTAAGTGCCCTTCGGGCTTCTGAATACAGCGGCTATTGTCTTCACTTCACATCATCTTTTGCTGGTGTGTGTAGGCGTGGCGGCTGGCACGAGTGTGGGTGGTCTGTGTCCGCGTCTGCATCCGTGTCTGCGTCTGCGTCTGCGTCTGCGTCTGACTTTGCCGCTGTGCCTTTCCTGCACGCTTCGAGAAGGAAGAGTCGCCGTGATGACTCAGGTAGCAGGCAGGAGCCCGGGGCAACGCGCCCAATCTGTGCCCAGAAGCCGAGCTGAGGACGGGAACACACCCGTCATAAAACAATCCTGAGGAACCCTTTCTCACAGCTTTTTCCCAGGACTAGAGCCCAACGCCCTAAGCCCAGGCCTTCTTAGTCGCCATGTCTTTTGAGACATGCTAGAATAACTATCTTTTGCCGGGACGACCTTGTCATGAGATGCATCACTGCAACGCAACAGTCAGATTGTAGCCGTTACCTCCCTTCCAAGTTTGACAGGAAAAGATCTCGAGAGCTTTTCCTTCGTTTTTGTCTCAAACTGTTAGATCTAAAAGTATGAACATGTGTCAAGTAGGATCATCGCACCACGCAGGCACAAGCAACACTCATCCTACAAACGGTAAGCATGTGTTCACCCCATGCCAGTTCAGTTTAAGCTTTGCCAAAACATATAGTCTTGCGAGTCCACCATGGCTTTGTCTTGGTGATCAGAAAGTGCATCAAAGACCCCGAAACCCTAAACCCTAAACCCTAAACCCTAAACCCTAAACCCTAAACCCTAAACCCTAAACCCTAAACCCTAACCCTTGAGTCGAGGCTGACCAAGGCTGTGGCTCGCTGTCTTGGCGGGTCGCGTCGGTCGAAGGACTCCTGACATGTTCCATGGAACGTATGACAATACTACTAAGACTACGAATAACAATAATAACTCCTACGAATAATGCGACTAATAGTAGTAGTAGTAGTAGTAGTAGTAGTAGTAGTAGTAGTAGTAGTAGTAGTAGTAGTAGTAGTAGTAGTAGTAGTAGTAGTAGTAGTAGTAGTAGTAGTAGTAGTAGTAGTAGTAGTAGTAGTAGTAGTAGTAGTAGTAGTAGTAGTAGTAGTAGTAGTAGTAGTAGTAGTAGTAGTAGTAGTGATATTAATGCTAACAGTAATAATAATAATAATCATAACAATAAGAAGAAGAATTTAAAAAATTAAAATAATGTGAAATTGTTCTGACTTTTAGACAGTTGAGTATTTCGAGAATGCCCTAAGTTGGAGAAGATCTGAAAAGCCTAGGACTCTTGCGGCCTCAAAACACTGAAGCCTGGCCCAGAATCTTCTGGGCCAGATTCCTGTCGTGATGGGCTGAAACTGGATACAGCACTTGCAAACGAACCCAACGTGGGGTGTAGTGTGTGCATCGCAGACGAATGAAAGCCAAGTGCTATGTCACATGGTAATAGTGGTAATAATAATAATTATTATTATTATTATGATTATGACTATTATTATTATTATCATAATAATAATAGTAATACTGAGTTCAGGAGGTCGGGCTTGGAGGTGGGTTTGAAGGGGGAGTTCGAGGCCCGGAAAAGTTTGAGAGGGCCGGAAAGGGGTTCAAGGGTGTCTCAGAAAAGCTGGGAGGAGCACAAGGGAACCCCTGCGACATGGGATTGCGGCTTCCAAGCAGTTCGGGCGGGTCTCGCAGGGGAGGGGACGTAGCCGGATCGGATTTGAAGCGTTTTTTCGGGTCTAGTACTCCTTGCCTGGTCGCGAGCCGACAAGCCGAAACGCGTCCACCACCTATTAACGCCGATGCCGGAAGCCCACCCCAAAACAAAATCAAGCTGACCCTGTCTGGCTCTCAAAACCGAAGCAAAACACAGGTCAACCACCCTAAACCCTAAACCCTAAACCCTAAACCCCAAACCCTAAACCCTAAACCTTACACCCTAAACTAAACGATCACATCAAACCCGACTCAGGCTCCTGGTGGGTCAGCTGCGGCCTGTGCGACTCTTTCTGCCGCCTTCGATGCGATGTCTCGCTTGGCTTCGGACCCTGAACCCAAATGGGGTTTTCCAAAAATAGGGTTTAGGGTTTAGGGTTTAGGATTTAGGGTTTAGGGTTTAGGGTTTAGGGTTTAGGGTTTAGGGTTTAGGGTTTAGGGTTTAGGGTTTAGGGTTTAGGGTTTAGGGTTTAGGGGTACCCTTTTTGGGGGTCCCCTGAAGGGGATTCGATTCTATTTGGGGTATAAAAGGGGTACCCCTACTTTGGGAAATCCCCAAATGACTGGACGAAAGGACTTCTGCACCTTGTCAGCAGGAAACTTTGAGCAGCTAACAAACAAAAACAATCCTTGAAGCCTAATTCGCCCGTGCCAGCACCAGGCGTGAAACTGTAGGCCCAAATATGGAGACTAAATTTCCCTCGGCCACTCTCCGAGCGCAGCACTTCACGTCCTCCACCCTCCGCCGCATCTCTTCATACCTTGGCGTCACTTGCCAAGGATCTCAAGTAGAGTTGAAATTAAAGGCTAGTCGCTGTGGTCGTTGCTGCTGTTGCTGCTGCCGGGTCTTCCCCCTCCTCCTGGTCTCCTCGTCCCTCCTCACCCGTTGGCGGAGACTGCCTCTGCAGAATCCTATCTAAGCAGCTCTGTTCCGGAACCTGTTCCTGCAGAAGCATAGGCCAGGAATCTCACACGTCCTTGCACTTCTGGGATTCTGGCTCCCGGTCTGCTTGCAGTTGCTCGGGCGATGGGCGCACCGGCCTGTCTTTGTGTGACCGAACTGCCTGCCCTGAAGCAACTCATCACTGAAGCCAAGATGTTTTAGAGCATAAGCCCCTGTGTGTCAGACGCCCCGCATGCTTCAACCACAAGAACTCCCAGATATCATCGGGTAGAGCCTAAGCTAATTCAGGGCTCCGGGATGTGCTCCCGGCGTTCACGTTCAGGGAGCCGCTGCAGCCGATGATCCTGTCTAAAACTGTTTCGACCACGAAGCCGGGGCCGCACATATGCAGTGGGATCACAAGTCAAGGGGGACGGGCAACAAAAGAGATCGTTGATGCAACCAGAATCCAAAGAGGTAGTCGAAGTAAACCTCGATTGAAGTTCGTCACAAAGAAGATGTATGTCAAGAGGTTTAAATGAGGCAAAATTGAGCACGAAGACCCTCGCAAGGGATTGGACAAGTCCATCCTTTGTAGCATTGGGCAAGGCAGTTCTGCCAAAAAGAGTACCCATACAAAGCTGAATCGATCAACACTCATAACAGACGAAGGATCTCGCTTCTCCCAACACGTAGCGCCTGCTCACGGCTGCGGGCGCGCTGACGTAGCCCTCCGAACAGAGGCTTCATCAAGATAGACCAAGATAGACTGCTTTAAAACCCTGTGCAAATTACATATGAATAGGTTCCCTTATGAGGCAAAAGGGGAAAGTAATAAGTTATCCCAAAGCACATCCCAGTAGACTAAGATGGACCGAGAGAATCAGTAGATCGTACAGTTATGGAGTTCTGTGGTCTTCGAATCATAAAGAGCCCTGGACTTTCTCATCCTGTCGCCATCGCGCCAAGGGTTTCCAGAATGCAGCTTGCATGCGAACAGTTGAGGCTTCTAGAATTTGCCTGTGGCTCTTGGGAAGGGCCCAGAGCCTCTTTCTGCTCAGGCCAAAGAGACAGCAGACGCGGGACGCTCACAGAGAAAAAGAACACATCGAAAGCTGGGCCATCTCCTGAAGCTCAAATTAGGCCATTATCCTGACTGCCCTACGCCTGAGACATGTGAGGTTTTGGGGGGTGGGGGGGGGTGGGTTGTAGATGCTGTCGTGCACAGTTCCTGCCCAATTGTAAGGCCAGCGTTGTAGGACTGACGCCCTTTTGGGATGCAGTTCACCTGTCCCCGGGTGCAGTATGGAGTGGATTTAGGATTTTGGGCTTGCCGAGCCTGGCTAACCGGAAGAGGCCGCGTGGGCCGCACTGGCACCTGTGAAACGACTGCGTCAGGCATGCAGACCAAGTAGTACCCTAAACCCTAAACCCATTCTGATGCAGGCCCACGGGATTGAGAATGAAGGAACCAGGAAGCCTTTTCACTTCACCACTTGTAACCTGCAGGGTTTTTTGCGTGTGGTTTGCGATCTTGGGCAGGCCGCATTAACATCTTGCTGCATTCAAACGCGAAACCCCTGGATCCGAACCCCTTACTTTCTTGTTGCAAATGTTACAGAAAGTTTGGCCCTTCCGAAACAGGGTTTGCCAACGGCTCCTTGCAATGCCTACTGCACACCGCACCCTAAACCCTAAACCCTAAACCCCTAGCTTCACTGGGAGCGGGGCGACGGACCTCTTGCGGAAGGAGCGGAAGGGCAAGCCATTGATGCGCAGTTCAAAAGGGCCTTGGCACTCGAATTCCAGGGTTTAGGGTTTAGGGTTTAGGGTTTAGGGTTTAGGGTTTAGGGTTTAGGGTTTAGGATTTACGGTTCAGAGTTTGGAGTTTAGGGTTTAGGGTTTAGGGTTTAGGGTTTAGGGTTTAGGGTTTAGGGTTTAGGGTTTAGGGTTTAGGGTTTAGGGTTTAGGGTTTAGGGTTGGCAAGCCTCGAACCTTCGAAGCCGACCCGCCCGTCACAGGGTAGTTCTACACGTGAAGCTGGCCATGCGTACAAGCTTCTAGGGTCCCCCGTATGCCGGAGACCTCAAGCCTCAACCTTTCATATAAACTGATCTCGACGACAACGATCCTCACTATCGGTCCGCCCTGCCATCACACCCCTAAACCCCAAACCCTAAACGAACCCTAATCCCTAAACCCTAAACCCTAAATCCTAAACCCTAAACCCTGGACCCTATACCCTAAACCCTAGGAACATTAAGTGCAGAACGCCAAGAGGACGCATATGTGCCGCTAGAGTTTCGGCCGAGCTGCAGTCGACCTCGGTGGGACGCTGATGCTTTGAACATGCGGTTTAGGGTTCGGGGTTCAGGGTGTTATGGTTTAGGGTTTACGGTTCAGAGTTTGGAGTTTAGGGTTTAGGGTTTAGGGTTTTGGGTTTAGGGCTTAGGGTTTGGTACGTTTCATGGCTTCCGACCGAGCACTGGGCCGAGCTCGCAACTCTGTCCATGACCTTGTCCAGCATGCTGTCGGAGCCTGTTACACTGTTCCAAAATGTTGGGTCTGAGTTGAGGCGTTGAGGGGCTGAGGTGGCTACCTGCAGAGCTTGAGATTTAGACACCGATCTTCAGGTGGGCTCTGTCGGTTTGGGTTCTTTTGCCACTTTGTTTCGAGCTGTCGTCGGTTTGAGGATTCGGAGAGACGTTTTGATCAGGCGTCCCATGCTTACAGGCCCACGTGTGGACTTAAGGGCTTTGCTTGGATAAGGGTTTAGGATTTAGGGTTTGGGGTTTAGGGTTTGGGGTTTGGGCTTTAGGGGGTCAATTCCTCGTGGATTAGGCTTCAAGGTTCGGACATGTTTCCTTTGAGGGCGGGGGGGGGGGGGGGGGAGGGGTCTTTCAGCTAGCAGTGGGCACGCCGTCCGCCAAGATACTCCCGCCATCCCCCACCATAGCATCCACAGTCATATATCTTATCTCCTATCCCCCGAAAGGTTGTTCGGCGTGCCCATGTAGATAGAATTTATGGGATTTGGGTTGGTTCGGGCTTGGGGGGGGCAATAGATTTCAATCATTCCTATCATTTCGGTGTGTGTCGGCGTTTGCATTAATAATTAAACAATATTAAACAAATGTCTGCCATGAATTCTTTTGATTCCTTTTCCTTCTTCTCTAATTGCCTTCTTGCGTTTTCTCATTCACCTCTATATCTTGATGCTTTCTGACCTCTTCCTAAATGGGGGTTTCCAAAACTAAGGGGTACCTTGTTGGGGTCCTGACTATAAGGCAATGCTACTGTTTGGGGGGGTCTATATTGGGGGTCCCCTATTTTCGTAACCCCCTAACCCTAAACCCCAAACCCCAAGCCCTAAACACCCCTTACTCTGTCGTCTCTGAAGTTAATGGTTGTGGCTCGGGCTCGCTTAGAACTCCAGGAAGTTCCTCAAATCATTCATATGGGGGGGTTACCGAAGATAGGGGTTCCTGTAACAAGGACTATGCTATGTTGGGGTATATTCAGGGTACCCCCCCCCAATTGTTGGAAGTACCCATATGCTTGGCTCTATCTGAAGAGGGTCTCTGCCGGCATCGCAAAACAAACGCTCGAAGCACTACGTAAACGCACAAACCCTAAACCCTAAACCCTAAACCCTAAACCCTAAACCCTAAACCCTAAACCCTAAACCCTTTCCAGCCCTAGACGCGACAGCAAAACTTAGCAGGAGCTGGCCTTCCGACTGCACAGGGACGATCGAGAGCAGATGCCCGCCTATTTAAGGGGTTCAGGGTTTAGGATTTAGGGGTTACGGTTCAGAGTTTAGGGTTTAGGGTTTAGGGTTTAGGGTTTAGGGTTTAGGGTTTAGGGTTTAGGGTTTAGGGTTTAGGGTCACAAGCCTAAACCAGGCTCACTTTTTTGGGTCTCCGACACAACAGGGATGAATACGACACCCTGATCATAAGGACCCAAAGAGGACCCTCATCTTAGAGAACTACCCATAGACTACTTCCGCGACTTCTCTGAGATGTCTCGGAAGCCTTCTTTGGCCTTCAAAACTTCAACTCAACGCCTTGGCTGGGTAGGCCTTTAAACTTTCTGAAAGATATTTATATAGAGGGTCCCTTATCAACCCAAATAAGGAAAATGTCCCAAAAACCAACCTCGTTAGGAACTTCGAGAACTCCTTGGAAGTGCTAAAACATCGAGAACTTCTCGAGGTTGCAGGCTTTTTGGAATTTGAGGCACATTTCTGGAGCTTCTGCAAGTCTTCCGGAGATCTCCCTGAAAAAAATCGGAACGTTTCGAACTTGTGGAACACCTGAAGCTGCTGGACGAGGCCATGGCGGAGCGAAGGTGGAAGCTGACAGCAACTTAGCTCCCTAAACCCTAAACCCTAAACCATAAACCCTAAACCGCGGCATCCCGCTTGCAAACCCCAGACTTTCCAGACGTCCTGAATGCACTCAACCCGCATCAACATCATCAACATCATCGTCGTCACTAGCAGAACCTGGCCAGGCCCCCCCAAACTCAAGAACTCGTCTCTTGTTCCAGGAAGCAGACCGATCGGCCAGCTGTACTGGAAGTTCCGCGAGCGCAACACCTGGTCATTGAGCAATTTCGGCCTTCTGAATCTCCACTGAAATCGCACTGGAACTGAAACGCACTTCTCATTGAACGAGATGTCTGTCTTGGGGTTCATGAAACGGGGTGAATACACCTAGGCAGCGTTTGAGGCAACTGTGTGGAGTGTGATTCGTGTGACTTTGCTCCTCAGCCAGGCTGCACAGCCAGGCTGCATTCACAGGTTTTCAGGCTTGTACTAAGTTTGCAGCCTGAAATCTCACTTTGGGGATAGACCCTCCATATACCCTCCTATTGCACATTCCCTCAACCCGAAAGGTGCAAAAGTCCAGAACCCCCCCCCCCCCCCCCCCCCCCCCCAGGTTGTTGCCACTTGCCAGCAGCACTGTCATCTCATGTAACAAACGGCCATCAACGAAGACGCGCTTCTTGCCCGAGGTCCTTGACATAAAGGTCTGGGGTTACGGGGGATGTAGGGTGAATGGTTGCAAGTTGATGAGTCCTTGGGGCTCCCATATTTCAAGTCAAAGGTGTTGGCTTAACCAGGCTCTTCACCCTGTTCCTGAAGGGTGGTGAAAGCCCACCTTGAGATAATCTGCCAGGCCTCCACCGGCTCGTTTTGCATTTTGGACACAGGTGGATGAAGAGTTTAGGGTTTAGGGTTTGGGCCCAAGATTTCAGAATGTCGAGAACTGACCATATGCATACACGAACTCATGGAGTTCACAGGCTGCAGCAGCATACACGCACACTTGTCACCTGTTGCTACAGATTTTGTGTGGCATGAGGATCGATTCACGAAAATAAAGCCAGAGTAATACCAGGTTTCCGATTCTTAAGATGGGGTGTGGATGAGAATCGACAGCTTGAGTAACCAAGTAACGAAGATCCGAGAGATCTCATCCGAACGCGGCGTGTGGGTACAAGAAAGACCCCGTGAACTAACCGAACAAAATCCAAACCTAAAGCCTCATGCTGTTGTGAGCAGAAATGTTCATGAGGATGTAGAATCATGGATCCTTCTCACTTCCTGGACGTGGCAGGTGCGTGCGCAACCTTTAAGGCGTCGGGGGATGAAGGTTCGGCCTATAAGTGCAAATACGACCTGGCACTCTGAGCCTGCTGGGGGCCGAGCTTTGTGTTGGTGAACTCGATCCTCGATTTGGAGAAGGAGGTGCTGTCTCTAGTGACGGAAAGCGACACATGTCATTACTTGAACTTTGCAAGCACCTGCAAGAGATCCCACAGCGGTCCCTGTCCATGTCCCAAACCAGGTAAAAAGCGAGCGCGCAGACCCTACCCGAAGCATTGTGCGGTTAACAAGACCCTAACGCGCTTAGCGGGCCTTAGCGCCTGAACGTTTAGGGTTGCAGGGTGCAAACTCTACCACACCAAAAACCCGCAGAAACTGAAGCGAATGCGCCATGGCGCGTGTGCATCTTGCCGTCGATGGCCAGTTCCCAGGTGTATCGCACCTGGTCTCTTTTAGGTTCAGGGTCCACATTGACATGTGGGATAGTCGAGTGTTGAGGTTCAAGAGCGCTGCGGGTTCAGGATTGAGAAATCTTGAAAGTTCCATTGGAGAGTGGGGTTGTGAGGGTTGTGGATCTGGCCAATCCAAACCAAAATGGAGTGGGCGCACCTTGTCCGATGAAGCAAGCAGACACAATGCCAAATCATTCCGGGAAAGATCGGCCGACAGTAGTGCTACACGGGTACGGGTGATGGCCAATGGCCGAGGGCCCTGGGCGGCGCCCGCAACTGACCCAAATGGTTCGCCAGAACACAGGCTCAGAAGAGCCAGATAGGACTAGCAAACTTGCAGAACCGGGGGTGAAGTCACGGGCCTGCAGGAAATCTCGTGGACCCAAGGTGCGGGCAACCCCTCACGGAAACGACTCGGCTGGAGGTGGAGATGTCTTCATGGCCGCTGCGGTGGGGGGCCATGAAGTTCGAGGCCTCTGGATGCCCAAGCAGAATGAGGATGCAGGAGTGGCACCCATGTCGCACCCGCGCCGATGACTTCTCTGCCCCTGGCACGCGGTTGGCATGGCTGCGAGTTCGATCCTTGGGTGGATGCTGCGAAGCAGCCTGATTTTGGCGACGGCGCGGCAAGCGTGCTCGACCTCTGAATGACCCGGGCTGCCTCATCTACCGGAGGGCTTATTCTGTGGTGCTTCGAAAGGTGCCTCCCTTGGCAAATGCCGGCGGATCTTGAGGCCAAGCTGGGATCAAGCTCCACCTCGAGTCTCGAGTCATCTTGCAGATCATGACATGAATTCTGCAGGCTTTCCGAGGAGAGCATCTAAAGCATCCCCAAGTTTACTGCAGCAGCACGAGAGCAGCAGCGGGGACCAAGGCCGCCGCTGTTGGGATCCGTTTGCCGGACGTTTTCAAAGTGAGATCTGGACCGTTTGGCAGCCAGCAGCCATCGTCTGGACTGTTAGAGGTCTGACAAGTGGGCCTGTGCATGTAAAGAGGAGCAGCCACCCTGGACCGTGTGGACGGATCGGGGGCAGCTTCACGATCAAAACCTCGATGGTCCAAGGATCAGAGCAGGTCGTCTCCAAGCGGGTCGACACGGGCACCGGGCTGCGGACTGAAGGAAGCCATTTGCCCCCCCCCCCCTGCCCCCCTGCCCTGTTGTGGATGGGGGCCACACAGGACACACGCAGGACACACACAGGACACGCACAGGACAGGAGAAGATCCACACACTCCTATATTTCCAAAGCAGGGTCAAAATAGAGTTCGCTAAAGCAGTAGTTGCGAAGCACCTGACCATGCGCACCGCGGCCCCAGCAAGGTCCACAAGGGAGCTTCAGCCATAGAAGATCCAAGCACGACTCTACTTGGGACGTTGTGCTCACAGTGCGCGAACCTCGTACCCTTCGAAGTACCCAGGGCGCGCCAAGCGAGTGGACAGCGGATGGCAACGCGGCAGGCGCTTGGAGAGATAGAAGCAGAAGAGGCAGCTGCTGGATGTGGGCTCTTGTCGGAGAATGAGTTGCATATACTTGCATGCACCTAGCGGGACCTGGCTGACAGAGATCCTGAAACTGCGAGGCCTGAATCTACTCAACCCTAGGACTTATCAAGGGCCGACTTTATTCTAATAAGGCAGTCCTGAGGAGCCTCAAATTGCACGGGGGTATCCTTCAAGCAGCACTTTTGGAGCATTCGGGCGTTGCCAGATTCGGGGAGTGCTGGCAAAACCAACAGTCCCACTACGAGTACTTGAGAGCAGGTGCAATGTCAATGGATGATGTTCCACCCTCTTTGTGTGGGCGCCCCCCGCCCCCCCCCCCCACCCCAAAAAAATGTCGAGGCTGGATTTGCTCCTGTTTAGACGCGCCCGCGGGTTTATGTGACTTTAATAGGGAAGAGTTTAAAAGGGGCAGCGATGCCAGGCAACTGATTTTAAAGGCGCGACGCGTGGAATTTTCTTACGGCGCCCGGTCGATGTGACTTTAAACAAGCACCTGGCCTGCACCCCCAAACAGTCAGGGTGTCCTGAATAACCCAGCCAAGTTGACTTTAATCAGGGGGCCCCTACTAAAAGGGTGGAACATTACTCACCAACATCAACCCCTGACCCCATCTCACTTGGGAAAGCGGGGGCCGAACACAAGATCGCAATACAGGGCTTTGGAGAATCTTGGGGGACCTGTGAGATGCCAAATTAACTATGGATCGAGAAGAAGTCAGACCCTTTAGGCTGTTGGGCTTATGAAGCCGCCTTGGTGTCTGCAAAGGTCTTGCCGGTGGAGTTCTCGTTAAAGCTGACAGCAACCACACCATCCTCAGTAAGAGAGCGCATGTTCGTCTGTTCTGTTCTTGCTTGTATCTGGAAAGCAGTTTACCTTTTTCGAGTCGATCTCCACGGAAACTTCATGAATGGTTTCCGTCAATCCTTCTGCTTCAGGTGTTGTTGCCAACTCGTGTGAAAAGTCTGCAACGGCTCCTACACCACTAGAGCCGAGTGAAGTAGAATGGATATTTGGGGGCAGTCTAAGGGCATAAGGCGTGACATTGGCAATTGCTCAGGCTCCGTTATCCGTTCTTTCCTTTTAAAGCTTTGACTGTGCAAGATAAAGTAAAAGCGCAACGTCCAGTCACCAGGCCACACATTCAGCGAACCCGCAAGTCCTGGCCCCAAACACTCTCAAAGACCCAGGTACTCCGTGCACACAGGAATCCGTGACCTTGAATCATCTTGAATCCCACACCGCTGCCAGGGGCCCCTCCTGTCTTTCCATTCATGCAAAGTTTGTCTCAACCCTCAACCCTAAAACCCTAGACCCCAAACCCTAAACCGTGTCAACACAAAGGCGACACAGTCCAAGCGCATGCACAAACTAGTACATGGAGGCCCTCGAGCCGAAGGTGCTTGGCTGCTTGGCTGTAGCTGCTAAGCACCCCGAGATCTCCCATCGACCCATTGCCACGAACTTCGAACCCTGACTTCCCCCCACCCCTGTTATACTCCTGTTGGGAGGCCCCACGTCACTTCCCAGCTCCATGGTTGTTTACCCTTGCGCCTCAGGAGCACGCGAGAACTTAAAGGTTCAGGCTGAAGCTTGTGATTTCCACTACGGTCGGTCCTTAAAACCGTTGCAATCAAATAGGGTCAGGGTCTTACTCTCTACTTCGGGTCCCACAGTCCGCCTAACAACACTGCAGGTGTCACGCTGTGGCGATCAACCGACTTTCCCTCAGAGAACGCCTACAGAAGATTGGCTTCACTTGCCTGGTACCGAGATTTACTCAGTATCTCAGGACAAAGCACCCTGAATGCTCAACCTCAAGACGGCGTTCAATAGCACGCGCTAGTCACGCTCTGTCATGACGCGCCTCGATCACTTCCCGTTACCCCAAACTCTTACGGCAAGTCACCACGATGGCAGCCATCGCACTAGCGATCTCTACAGCAAGCTGCCTCGTTCTTGTGAGAGCCGGAACGCGGGGCCTGAAACCCTGAGTTCAACAAACTGCCATAGACAAGCCCTGGGGGCACCTACTTAAAATCACCAACACATCCCTGCATAGACGTTACCAGTGTCCCCAACGCGTCCCCTCCCCAAGATCCCGTCACTCCTGAGTCCAGTTCATCCCCGTACACATCTCCGGCTCCCTGGGCAGATTCATCTCTAAAAGACCCCAAAGGCTGATTACAAGATTCAGGCCTTCTGGTCTTGACAAGATCAGAGAGCAGCCTACGATGTCTTACAAGGTAAGAATGTTCTGTGGCTACGCCTACCACCCATCATCACAAGTGCATGAGGAAAGCCCGGGCGCAGTAGCTGCGGCATTTTGCACGTCGTTGGCGTGGCTAAGGCAAGTGACCTACTGTCTGAAGCTCCTAAGGAAAATCCCGTAGCTGCCGACAACTGGAACGTGAGCAGAAGTGAAGATGCACCTGCAGGGATCCACCGACATCTCGCTACAGTAGAAACCTGAGCAGTGCAGGAACCTTCGCTTTCCGGGGCTGTCCTCCGAAGGGCGGTGGTTTCTTCCTTCTCTCTGTGTCACCAGCAAGCCAATACACGGGCATGTGTTACTGGATACCCCGTCGTGCAACCTACAACACGGGAATGCAACAAAAAAATAAGCAACGTAGATCTGCGCAGAGGGCCACAAAATAGGTTGCACGCATCGTCCAGATTCCGAGCTTGCAACAGGGCTCTACGATGCTATACGTTTCGACGCGGCTTCCATCAAAGAACCCTCTTTGAGCCTCCGAGATCTTTGCCTTCATTACTGCCTGGAACCTTTCGTTGAACACAACGTACAGTGACCCGAGGGATCCCGCAACTTATCCCGCAACTGCTGCACTCTCGGTTCTGGAGCAAGGCACCCGAAAGAACAAGGCCCACCTTGAGGTAGTCCCTGCACTGCACGAAAAACAAGCGAAGAAACGGGGCATGGAACAGGTTCCAAGTCCAACTCTTGGCATCTCTTGGGCTACATAGTGAGCTCCCGGCATCTCGGAGCGTCGGCTTTTCGGGGGGCGGGTTGTCGTTCTCCAGCATTTGAGGCAAAAACGAATTCCGCCAAGAAGTCGGTGTCAGAGATCACACTGGCATCCGGCGCTGACGGGGCCTAGCCTGCAGTTCTGGGGACTCCAGTGTGTGGCAAGCCGTCGCCGTGAGCACCGCTTCTGATCGCTTCTGTGTTAACAACATGGCCAGGGCTGGGCACTCAGCACTCGGGCCTCGCGCACCCTGGAATTTGCGAGTGTGGAAAACAAGGACACTCAAGCGAACTTATTAACAAGAACTATCCCGAACTCGGGGCTTCATCAGCTTCCGCGTGGGAGCTGGGAAGCGTGAGCACATGCCGTTGGCCAACAGGTGAGGCTTGGCCTCTGCTGGCACGGAGGGATGCATTAACGAGAAGTTTCGGTACTTGTCAATGAGGGCATCAAGGCCTTGGACTTTCGTGGCCCAGCACACGGTCAGGCACGACTCTGACTCTCCAGAAAATTCCACTCCATCAAGGGCTTGCCAAAGCTCCAAGGCGGCCTCCGGTGAAACGGCGTTCAGAAACACTTCACCGAAGCTGCTGCCGGTCTTGAAATGCATGGGCATGTAGGCGAAGTCCACAATCGAGATCTTCCCGAGCACCTCGGTCGTGGTACAACAGCGCTTTGCAACATGTTACGACACACCAAGGACTGACAAGGAGCCATGTGAGCCAATCCCCTCGTTCCCTGCCCTCACACTTGCGAGTCGGGCACATGTAGCACGTCCATCACCTCGTAGACGTTGCTTGCCGCCCCCCACCCAAAAACGCACATCGTGGTGCAGTCGTTGGTAGCCCTCAGCCGCTCGGAGCAGGGCACGAGGGGGAGAGGGGTTCGGAAGATATGCGTGCTCGTTGTGGGTGCCTGATGCCAATGCACGTGCAAACAACGCAAAGGCTTCAGTGACTCAGGCAGCAATGACCCCGCTCCCGGGGAAGGCTCCGGCGTAGGCGCGCCGGGCTCCGTGTCCTGAGCACGGCACGCTGGCCGATCTCCATTTATCTCCTCAGCACCCTCATACATTTTACATGCAACGTGTCCACTCAAAGGCAGCAGACGTACTGCAATATGCCCCCCAGAACTTCAAAGTGTCAGCACGTTTGCTTGATACACGGCCTTGGGTTTTGCACAGGGAAGGTGCTTTCCCATCTTGGAAAAATCCAGGGCATGTTGTACAAGGTTAACCTATTTAATACCCATAACCCCACAAAACACGCCTTTTTCAATACTCAAGAACCCTTCAAACTTATAAGTCTAGGGTCGAGCCTAAGGTGCTTAGGGCCCTGAATGAAGGGTATCATTTTTTCGGACTCTGCGCTCCCAGTTCTGCGCTTGCGGTGTCGGTGTTGCGCTCTTGAACTGAGGCCCTGCCTCCTCCTCTTCGCTCCAGTCGTCATCCTGCGCAACAGCGCAGGCAATACAAAACAATGGCATCTTGACAAAACGGCCTTGGCATCTTGGCACAAGAACCAAGCCCACACAGGAGGGTGCGAGCATCAGGCAATGGGTGTGTGTGTGTGTGTGTGTGTGTGTGTGTGGGCGTGTGCGTGTGCGTGTGCGTGTGCGTGTGCGCGTGCGCGTGCGTGTGCGCGTGCGCGTGCGCGCACGTGCACGCGAGCGCGCACGCGCGCTTGTGTCCGTGCGTGCGTGCGTGCGTGCGTGGGTGGGTGGGTGGATGGGTGGGTGGGTGTGGG